AGTGCTGCCTTTTTCAGATGTCTAATTTTTGTGAAATTTCATGTTGAAATTTTGATACGCAAACGTGTAAAAATGAATCTGGAAATTTCACGAAAAATATACATCTGAAAAAGGCAGCACTTTCTGATTAGCCTATAAAGAGGGTGAGTATGCTTCTAAAGCAAAATAATCCTACAAACTAAGCCTAAATGTGAAAATCCAAATTTGGCAAAGTCAACACGATTTTTGTACATGTGGATGTGTGGCCTATGTTTACGGAGGCAGTCCAGTAAATAGGCCACATTTATGGGGCTATAATATAGATACATACTCATCATTCAAAAAAATGACTTTCTCTCTTGTGTTTATATATTGACTGTGTATAGTGCTCAAATAGTTGTGACTTGAATTGACCGAGCTAAATACTTGACTCGACTCGACTACACACTGTGACTCGACTCGACTCGATTGTCTTGACCTAATGACTCGACTCGAGTCACTTCTTTAAAATGACGTTAACAACGGGATACCCCAGGAAATTGTGATTTACTAACATTTAAGAATATAAATAAAATGATAATTAGTTTAACAAGGCAAAAAACTTGAAGCTTGTCTCCATTACTGAACAACTTCAGTACACTTTCGAAGCAATCGCCGCTAGTGTGCTTATTGATTGCTTGCCCGGTCCCCTCCCTGCCCCCGCCCCTAAAAAACTCTTCTGATAAGCACTGCTAAATCTGACTGTTTCTTTTCATTGACGCCCATTGAATTCCCCTTTTTATTTATGTGTTTGTTCATTGATTTATTTCATTATTTATTAATTTATTTCTCCATGTGCTTTTCTTCATCAATGAAAATCCCGCCCGCAAGGTTCTCAAATTGCGATCGCCTTTGCACTAGTTGTAACGTGCGCACGCAAATTAAAATGGCGCAGTGTAATTTGCGTGCTTCGGGAGTCCCTCGCGCAAGTTTAAACTTACGCGCCGCGGGGGACTGAAATTGCGCTCGACTAGTCTGAGTAACTTGGACCAAACTTATCGTGTGGCCTATGTTTACGGAGGCAGTCCAGTAAATAGGCCACATTTATGGGGCTAGGTGGAAGTGTGCATGTGGCCTTTATATACGGAGGTAGTCCAGTAAATTGGCCACATTTATGGGGCTAATTCAATGGTTATTCTTCAAGAAAGTTACGGTAATATCAAAAGAGCAGTTTTCCTACCTCCAAAGTCCATGAAATCCAGGGTACTACTACGGCACTTCATGCATTGCAATTGCAAATAATTGAGCACATGTCACGATCATGATCATGTATGTGTTTTTGTTTTTACCACTTGGCGCAAGAGGGCGCTGTTAATGAGAAAACTGAGCGAATGTTAGCAAACGTCACATTATTAATGCAGTTCTGCTGTCAAAAATAGCAGACAGCAGTTTAAAAGTTTTTGAAGGTTCAATTTTTTAGCTTTTTGGTTTTCTGTTACCAGAGATACAGGTTATGTTTTTCTGTAATGGCTGGGCAGACCAAAAGTGGACATCCGCTTTTCTTTTGTCAGAGCAGCAGAAAATCAGATCCAAACAAGATGAAATTTGCGTCGGGTGATGTAAATTCAATATTTGATCCAAACAAGGCAATTATTGCCATCAAAGACACTGCAAATCCACCGTTTCACACAAACAGCACTACGTACGCCAAGTTATTCGTCCCCCGAACCACGAAAGACTGAAATTTAAGGACAAAATTGGAAAACTTCAAGCCAACACTCAAAATCAATACTAGTCTCGTGGAGGTTTTCTAGAGTAGGCCTACCCACCCCCCCCCCCAAAAAAAATCGAGGTTTTTCAACAAAATCATGGAGAAAGGTGAACTATATTTTCATTTTCAGAAAACAGAAAGGCAGAAGACGGCACATTTAATTCGTATTGTGTAAGTTGGGTCTTAACAGCCAAAAACACTCCGCAAACAAAACAAAATCATTTACAATTGCTAAACAAAATTAATAGACTGACCTCGTTTAAAAGTAAGCCATAATTGCACAAATAATAGCATACACCTCAACCAACAATGGGAGGGGGCGGGGCTGGACGGGATGATATATGGTATTAAAAGAGAGTGACAGTTCATTCAACAATAGCACGTTAAAAGTACACTAGAGTCCCAAAGCTGACGTGCTTATTTTTGGTTGCGTTAATTGGAGGTAGTCAAGCTCGTTAGAGTTTCTTTGGTATGATGCAAGTGCAAGTATTGAAAGACAATCTGATTGGACAGTGCTAGAATTCTTGCGCTTTGTTTTCTTATCACCAAATTTAGCATCCACCAATAAATCGGGGGTTCAAAATGTAAAAAAATTCGATGTGTTTCCATACTCTCATCATAAAACCAAACACGAAAAATATAGACTTTAGCAAAACTCGCAGAATTCATCGTAGAATTTTAACAAAAAAGTTTCAACCACAGAAACTCTGTTTTTCTCACTGTCAGCTTCACGGTGATTATACCTCGGCTGTAACCCTTTGGGCGAAACGAGATGCATGTTATGTTTTCCTTTTTTGTTTGTCAAGGGACAAAATCCTTTGCATTTATCCCAAAGTACCCTACCGAATTGTTATCAAAAAGCTTTATGGATGTCAATCGGTGTGGGACAGGGTGTGGACACGTTGTGGGACAAGTCCCCCACCCCACTTTTTTAAGGTAGGGCCGGGGATATCATCGTTTTCCCCTCCCCACATTTTTCGTCCCAAATACAAATTGTATGTAGCCTGCATAATGATTCTATAGCTCAGAATAGCTGATTCAATGATTCCAAACTCGAAAAGCTAGCGTGTTTAAATGATGATATTTTTTGCAAAAAAAAAAAGTTAAAGTGGTCAGAAATTGCCTCAGATCGCACAACAGAGCATCTAGATTACCGGAAAATTTTCGGGGCCTTTAAGCTAAGGCGGGCCCCGCACTTGCATTGGTTCTGATCAAGGTATGTCTCCTCCCCCCCCCCCCCCCCCTCCATCCCACTTTCGAGGAGCGATTGACGCCCTTGACTTGGATTAAATATCGTACAGGTATTAAACAGCCCGGAGAAATCGAGGAATGCATGCGATTTCCAACGATCTATCAATTGACTGAGTTTGGGAATAAAGATTTCCTCATAGGAGCAACGAAGATCACCCAAGACTGACCCCCTAAAAGCTGCCTTTACCATTGAATACGTTTATTCAGTTACATCAACTGAATAAGTTTGTTTAAACCCTAACGGTCCTTTTCAGGGCCAACACATTTTCCAATTTTTTTTTTAAAGAATCTCCTGGAATCCCCCAGCTGCCTACATATTCTTTTTTCTCTCAAGGGTTTTTGACGTCTTTCTTCACATAAGTATTCCCTTCCACAATTTAGTGCAAGTTCTTTGGCAAATTATATTTTCCCTCTAGTGCCAAGTATTGGTCTTCATGTGCCTCTTGATCTGCTTGCCACTGTGCAATGTGCATGACACTATAACTTCAATAAAATAGAGGAAATTATAGATGTGATTATACTTCCAATTATTACTACTTCAGAGGTACAAGCATCAACATAAACAAAGATTATGACATAATTAATATTATTATTGTTTATTCAACACAAACAACATAAAGTTAAAAAATGAAATTAAATGAAAAAAAAACACAAAAACGTAAACACTCAGGATTAATAAATACCTTTTTGGAATAAAAAATATTGCAGGATTAATGAAACAGAACCAGAAAACAAAACAAGCTTATTTATGAATACAAATTAAAAACATAATATGCAATTAAATAAAGAACTCTAAGAACTAACTCATTAATAAGATACAATTAATTAAGAATTAGTAATAATTGATAATTAATAAGACTGAAATGAAAGCACATTAGTAATTACTGGTTAAGATAAAAAAAAAATCCTAAATGTACCACATTTGTATTTTAATATAGGTTTTCCCGGCTATTTTAAAACATTATTTACACAAATTCACCAACTTTATCATTCAATTTCGTCCGAGAAAAATTTCACACGCTTTTAACAAAACCAATTAAGTCATTTACCATTCAATTTCAAAGTTTAGTCACCCTCTTTGGTCACCGGGTCGAGAATATTCGTCATTACACATCAAATTCGCATAAGCTGTTGCCGAATGGCAGCATTCAGAGATCGAATTCGTCCGATATAAATCAATTAGACAAATTTGATTTCTGAATAACAAGGTTTGGCGTGGACAAGACAAAATCGAACATGTGCTCATTGTTTGAATTTGTTTGAACTAAATTTAAAATTGTCTGACAAAAGACGAAATTAAACATTGGAAGTGCACTAAATCGATGTTGATTGACGAATTTGAATATTAGAAATTGTGAATTCGAATGATAAACATTTTAAAATAGCCAGGAAAACGTATAGACAACTTTGCCAATTTTTTAATAAGGTAAATATGAGATTCAAGTATAATTAATGTCTTCATTAAAAAAAAAGAATAAAACCCAGAAGTTTTCTTTATCTTATCAACTATTGCCATTGATTTTGAATAATGACAAATTTTAACATTTTAAGCGTAGATTGGCTAAAGAATGCCATGGTCCAGTGGTTACGGTGTTTGAACCCTGCTAGGAACATGGTGTTTGTGTCCTTGGGCAGGACACTTTACTACAATTGCCTCTCTCCACCCAGGAGTACAAATCGGTATACTGTGAGGGTAGAAGACCGAATGTGTGCTGATATATCAGCTGCTGCGTGGTCTCGTGGCCTGATGAACGGGGCACTTTCAGATTGTTGATACGATGGACAGCACTATATAAGCATTATAATCTATCTATCTATGTACATGTCTGTCCAACTTGAAAAGATGGACAGTTTTAGCAGACTGGATGCAAGGCTATGAAAAGAGTTTACAGAGAAACCTATGACAAGATTTGAAACACTCTACAGACCAGTACTAATAGACCTTATGCATTAGGGCGGAGTTACAGGGCAATGATTTGGTATTGCTTGGCTAGGCATGCGTAAACCTTTTGTGTATTCATTGTTACTAGATTAAAATAACAACGAACAGCCTCTGAGATGCCTGTGATGCATGAGGTCTATGTGTTGGACTTCAAGCAAAAGTCTGTTTTCTTGTGCTGCATGGTTGCACTATAAGATTTAGGTTTCTCAGTACATGGTATTCGTGAGTGTAAAGTCAAGGTAAAGTGGCTTGCTCAAGAACACAAGCGCCATGCAAACACTAGGCTTGGTTAAGAATACCAATTAGAAATTTGGCAACATTGTAATCCTGCATATGAGCAAAGTGACGTGTCCATGTTCAAAGTCTCATTCAAAGCCCCTTTGACTATACATCACTGCTAGACTTCAATCTGCAATTGCTAACATTTCTTACAAAAAAGTAACATCAATTTTGATTCACATTTTGTAAAACAGCGAAAATTGTAAGTATAAACAAATACATTTTTAAGATTAACAAAGTCATTATTTTTGTTAACAGGCATTTTGGCAGGATGTAAGATGCATAAACACTGCTGTCATGCTTCAGTCAAATTACAAAACACATGATGGATTTTCTACATTGTATCTGCTATACACTTCGAAAAGACTTGTAGAAACCTCAGAAAATTGTGTTGTTTTTGAAACTTGTGCAACTTAAAGTAAATCACGTTTAAACATTTCACCTAATATCTACAAGCCTACATTTGTGCAAGTTCACAATTCTACAACAAAAAAATTCTTAATTAACTTTTCTTTTGAACTTAAAAACATTGCAACAATTGGAATATTGCAACAATTGGATCTTATGGAAGATCGCAACAATTGAATCTTACGGAAGAGCGCAACATTTAGATCTTATGGAAGATCACAACAATTGTATCTTATGGAATAAAAAACAATAGGATCTTAAGGAAGAATATTAAAAATAAAATCTGAGATGGTGACCATCCAACCCATGGAATGACCTAACTTCTTGTGACCTCAAAACCTCGAAGTAGTTTTCATGTTTTTTGCACCTGATGACATACTGAAAGAGATGTAAGTAATCGTTAATTGCTGTTTTGTGCCCCATTTACATTATTTTGCATCTCTCCAATCACTTTGTTTATGCTAATTTCCAAATTTTTCTGGGAGCAAAACAGTGAAGACATCTTTCAACATGAAGCTTTAGCGTTACAGCATGAAAGTTTATTTTTTGATAATACGACACAGGAAAACCATATGCCTTTGTTGTTAACATTCGTAAATGTCAGGCAGAAAAGAGTCAGTCACACTTGTGCAAACGTTGGTAAGCTATTGTTTGCATATTACCCCTGGTCTTACTGCCTATAGGAAGAACAGCCGGTCAGCCAACTCAATCCGCGGCTCTTTGTGCAGGCTTTGGCCAACAAGGAAAGACAGCTTGTGAGCGTAGAGGCAGGGGGCTGGTACACGAATGGTTCCCTGCAAAACAACAGAAGAAACAGACAAGATGAGTATGGAACTAGACCACTGAACTCTATTATTACTGTACTGTCTATAGACATGTGTGTACTGAAGCAGCCATCTGCCATCTTTGTTCCCTCATGACATGTCTTATGACATTGCACATACTGAAGCAGCAGTCTGCAATATTTGTTCCCTCATGACATGTCTTATGACATTGCACATACTGAAGCAGCTGTCTGGCATCTTTGTTCCCTCATGACATGTCTTATGACATTGCACATACTGAAGCAGCCGTCTGCCATCTTTGTTCCCTCATGACATGTCTTATGACATTGCACATACTGAAGCAGCCGTCTGCCATCTTTGTTCCCTCATGACATGTCTTATGACATGCACATACTGAAGCAGCTGTCTGGCATCTTTGTTCCCTCATGACATGTCTTATGACATTGCACATACTGAAGCAGCCGTCTGCCATCTTTGTTCCCTCATGACATGTCTTATGACATTGCACATACTGAAGCAGCCGTCTGCCATCTTTGTTCCCTCATGACATGTCTTATGACATTGCACATACTGAAGCAGCTGTCTGGCATTTTTGTTCCCTCATGACGTGTCTAATGACATGTGCATACTGTAGCAGCCATCTGCCATCTTTGTTCCCTCATGACGTGTCTAATGACATGTGCATACTGTAGCAGCCATCTGCCATCTTTGTTCCCTCATGACATGTCTTATGACCACTGATCTCTATTATAAAGACTGGATAGCGGATATGCATACAACATTCACACAGTTGACTTTGCATATTGACCAATTCGCCCCCGGTCTCACGAAGATGGCCGCGTATGATACGAACGTTCTACGCGTAAATACGCGCGCATTGTATCAACAGTTGACGCGCATTTTGGTCACGTGCACATATTATGATGTTCTAAAATGAACACATTTCCGTAGTGATTATTATTTCAAAAACGCCGAAAAAGTGATTTGCGGCATTATAAAAGTAACCACTACGTTAGAAAAATTGTAGTAAACCTTGGTCAGTTGGTCAGTGGTGGTGGCCAAAATATAAGTCAAGTGAGCCGCGACGTTACAAAAGAAATCAAGCTGTCTATAAAGACGGCAACTTGTCCTTTGTAGATCACCAGCCGGTCTCACCAATATGGCGTCAAATTCGTACATTGTGCGGCTCTTTATTAGCTATCCAGTCTTTATATAGAAATCAGTGCTTATGACATGCGCATACTGAAGCAGCAGTCTGCCATCTTTGTTCCTTCATGACATGTCTTATAACATTGCACATATTGAAGCAGCCATCTGCAATCTTTGTTCCCTCATGACGTGTCTTATGACATTGCACATACTGAAGCAGCCGTCTGCCATCTTTGTTCCCTCATGACATGTCTTATGACATGCACATACTGAAGCAGCCGTCTGCCATCTTTGTTCCCTCATGACATGTCTTATGACATGCGCATACTGAAGCAGCCGTCTGCCATCTTTGTTCCCTCATGACGTGTCTTATGACATGCACATACTGAAGCAGCCGTCTGCCATCTTTGTTCCCTCATGACATGTCTTATGACATTGCACATACTGAAGCAGCCGTCTGCCATCTTTGTTCCCTCATGACATGTCTTATGACATTGCACATACTGAAGCAGCCGTCTGCCATCTTTGTTCCCTCATGACATGTCTTATGACATTGCACATACTGAAGCAGCAGTCTGCCATCTTTGTTCCTTCATGACATGTCTTATGACATTGCACATACTGAAGCAGCAGTCTGCCATCTTTGTTCCCTCATGACATGTCTTATGACATGCGCATACTGAAGCAGCCGTCTGCCATCTTTGTTCCCTCATGACGTGTCTTATGACATGCACATACTGAAGCAGCCGTCTGCCATCTTTGTTCCCTCATGACATGTCTTATGACATTGCACATACTGAAGCAGCCGTCTGCCATCTTTGTTCCCTCATGACATGTCTTATGACATTGCACATACTGAAGCAGCCGTCTGCCATCTTTGTTCCCTCATGACATGTCTTATGACATTGCACATACTGAAGCAGCAGTCTGCCATCTTTGTTCCTTCATGACATGTCTTATGACATTGCACATACTGAAGCAGCAGTCTGCCATCTTTGTTCCCTCATGACATGGCTTATGACATTGCGCATACTGAAGCAGCCGTCTGCCATCTTTGTTCCCTCATGACATGTCTTATGACATTGCGCATACTGAAGCAGCCGTCTGCCATCTTTGTTCCCTCATGACATGTCTTATGACATTGCCCATACTGAAGCAGCCGTCTGCCATCTTTGTTCCCTCATGACATGTCTTATGACATTGCGCATACTGAAGCAGCCGTCTGCCATCTTTGTTCCCTCATGACATGTCTTATGACATTGCACATACTGAAGCAGCAGTCTGCCATCTTTGTTCCTTCATGACATGTCTTATGACATTGCGCATACTGAAGCAGCAGTCTGCCATCTTTGTTCCTTCATGACATGGCTTATGACATTGCGCATACTGAAGCAGCCGTCTGCCATCTTTGTTCCCTCATGACATGTCTTATGACATTGCACATACTGAAGCAGCTGTCTGCCATCTTTGTTCCCTCAAGACATGTCTTATGACATGCTCATATTGAAGCAGCCGTCTGCCATCTTTGTTCCATAAGGACCTCCAGTTTTCCTCCCTCCGCAAAAATCGACACTTTGGATCTCTGTCTACAGGCGCGGATCCAGGATTTCTTTAGACGGGGGGCACACTTTTAGAGCATTTTGCTCTGAGTAATAATGCGAGCGCGGAGCGCGAAGCCCTAACGGCGTGGGGTCCGGGGCCCGCTTAAGGGCCCCGGGAAATTTTGGATTCTAGATGCTCTGTGGTGCAATCTGAGGCGAATTCTGGCCCCTTTCCCCCTGAATTATTTGAGCAAAAGTTGTTAAGCTTATAAGGATTCAAAAAAATATACTCTTGTTTTTACAAATGTTAAGCTACTGTGTACTTCAAATGTGCAAACCATGTATTTTCGTCTTCATAATTTCTTGCATTGTATTTACAAACAAAAAGGAATTGTATTAACTCAGATAGTAAACTGTTGCAACGGGCGATGGGCTGGGACCAAGGACTAATGCAAACGCGGAGCAGTGTCTTACGGCGTGAGGTTCGGGGCGTGGGCCCAGTGAAGGGCCCCGGGAAATCTTTGATTCCAGAGATGCTCTGTGGTGCAATCCTGGCCCCATTTCAGCAAAATGTTGTGAAGATTGGAGGATTTTTTTTTCATTATCGCTTCGGTTTGTGGTAACACCATGTGTTTTTTTGATTTTTTGTTCATTGGTTTAAAATTGTACTCTTGTATTTCTTAATACAAGCCTAGTTAAGTTTCTTCTGTTCTTCACTCGATAACCAGGTATTTTCGACTGCATAATAAATTCTTGCATGTTATTCGGAAAAGGAATTGGATAGGCTTAGTTTGTAAACTGTTTTAAGGATGCGTAGGAAGATCTGTCCCGAGGACTAATAATGCGGAGTGCGAATGTTTTTCGGCGTGGGGTCCGGGGCCCGCTTAAGGGCCCCGGGAAATTTTTGATAATTGGATGCTCTGTGGTGCAATCTGAAGCGATTCCTGGCCCCTCTTTCCCTGAGTTATTTGAGCAAAATTTTTTAAATTAAATAAGCATTTTTTTCTCATTTTTTCAGGGTTACGTATGGAGTACGTACGGTGGGATCGCAATTTATTTCGAAGCTTCTCGAGTTCCCAGTACTGTGTCATACGACCAGTACACAATTTTTGCAGGCCGCTGATGTTTAATATCGGCGCCGGTATTTTTGTTAGAAGGTTGCCCTCCTCCTTCCCTCCTTTTCTCTCTCCTCCACCTCTTTTTCCCCCTGTTTTATTCATTTTAATTTTTTGTGGACTAAATTTGACGGGGGGCACGTGCCCCCGTGGCCCACCCCTGGATCCGCGCCTGGTCTGTGCTCCGTGGTCAGACATGGGTCATACGGCGGCAGGTGCCTTTACATGCCTTTGGCAAGACCACATTGTAGCTATGTGCATTACAATTCGGGCGATTCACAATGCAGTGCGCCACCAAGAATTTGCCAGGGAGAGTTCATTTTTTCCAGTGCATGTGGGAGATGGTCGACAAATTCGCAGCACGGGACATTAGAAATTGTTGGTTTTTTTTCCGGTCAGTGGTTTCGTAAGCGTATGATTCGAGGCACTGTTTGTTATTCCTTTTCTTGTTATCAATTTGGTGTTTTTTGTAAGGCGGCAGAACGCGATGCCCCAATCTATGACATATTAGCTCAAGTTGTCTATTGACACTCATTCAAATGGGTCATGTTTTGTCGACCGTAAAATTGAAAAATAGACTCTCGGTGGCAAACTCTTGGTGGTGCACTGCATTGTGAATCGCCCGAATTCAGCTCATGCTGCGAGTAAGGACGATTAGCCCCCCATATATACAGGATAGTCACAATGCTTTGGAATGCCGTTCATAACTTGCCCCGCTCCTTACCGGCCAATTGAAGTACAGATGGGTGAGCTTGTAGGTCAGGCTTTGCATGCTGTCTGGTGCCAGACCCGAGTTGTCCCAGATCACATTGTAACTGGTTGGAGTGACCGTGCCCTGGCGTACAGACTGACTGACAAGGAAGAAGTCGTATCTGTGGACACAAAGTAGAGACCGGTCAGAGTGATACATACAGTCAAAATAAATGTTAAAAGTTTCAGCAGGCTTCATACTTCAGTATCTATTGGTGATTGATGGATCCAGCAGGGTCATAAAAATACTCGGAGCAGGGTTAGGGTTGGCTGCACAGACTTGACCATTTTTTGAAGGGGATGATTACACAACCGTGAGGTGTAGATATGGCGCGCTGTTCTACGGGCACTGCACTCTACACTGCCACGTTTGCAGGTCTGCTGGAGGCTAATTAGTGTGCCTGTTTTGAACAGACACTGCACTAGTAGTCTTTATACAACACTTGAATAAACCCCCGTCATCTGTTTGGAGGATCGTTAATCACATGTCATTGAATTATTCGTACCAATGCACGGCACGCGCGTGGCGCGCAGTGCACAGTGCAATGGAGGTTCTATTGCGCTGTGAATATAGAACGTCCATTGCACGCTGTCACTGCTGCTGGTGGTGGCGCTGTTTTAAATCGAGATAAATTGATAAATTGAATATGATTGTTCTCAACTTGTCGAATAGTTGGCATTAATATAAATATGATGAACTTGTCAAACTTTTAAAAAGTTTTCAACCTGAATAAATTGGCTATTAAAAGTCAACCAATCAGATGACGAGGATTTATACAGGTGTTATGTAAAACAAATAATGAATGTTTCACGTTCATGCAATGGAAAGAATAATTTCATTTGGTGACAGATGAAATGTTCCCTTTCACGAGGCGAATTTTATCCGTAGCCTCGTGAAATTATTCTTACCATTGCACTCACAAACATTCATTATTTGTATAATGAAAACAGAACAAACTTATGATTTTCATAAGTATACATATTGTAGCGGAACAGTTAATATTGGCGCGCTAGGTTCACTGTAGTTTAGTTGGTTGGTACGTGGACTTCTGTCCGTTGTACAGCGCGCGAGTAGCGTGGCTGGTTGGTACCCAGCGCGGGTATATAAGCGCGTGTCGCATGCGCACTCACTCTCTTCCATTTCACTCTTCCATTTCACTCGTCCATGGATTGCACTCTCCCATTGCACTGCTCACGTTGTGTGCTTTAGCTGTTAATTGTGGCGCGAAGCGTAGCACAGTTCCCGCTCAGAGACTTGGAGTTGCTGAAGCGTGCGTAGTACAGCTGTGGTCAGTCTTTCACTCAGGAAGAGCACTGGTTTAGTTCCGGTGAGTGCAGGGATTAGGAAATCTGGTTGGTACGGGAAGCATTCCAGTTCTTGACGATTATTGGAAAGGGGCCAATTCTTACAATTGAGCAGGACACACCTAAGTAGGACACACCTAAGTAGGACGCACCTAAGTAGGACGCATCTTATTGGGTCTCCAAGTAGTTATAATAAAGCAGTGAAGCCCTAAATACCCGAGTGTCTGATCTATTCATTGGACGTTAACCCTTCCCCGAGTGTGTTCGTGAGGTTTGCGTGAGAGCGCGAGTGAGTGTGTTCCCTGAGCGCCTGGCGGTAGACTGCCCCAAAACGGACCTGTTCCCCTGGCCTTCCCCACAGCCGCTCGTCGGGTCGGCAGAGAGCAATATCCAAGGCATCGTCGACACAAGACCGCCACAATATTTTGGTTAGTTACAGTGTACAGGGATAATAATTTGTTTTCTGTTTGATGTTTTCCAGTGAGTTCTTTACTTACAAGTCTGGTTTGGTGACCACTGAGTCGATCACCGTTCCTGGGGATGGGTTGACGAGATTTCCTTGGTTCAAGGAGCAAAATCTATTGTTGATTCGCTTCTTAACGACGACCACAGCCCACTTAGGGCTGTACACAAACAATCAAAGACAACATTTATTGGCACAATTGTCTATCATGACATGAGACACTAGTAAATGGCACTTCTATGACAAAAAGCAAAATGTGAAAGATTCAAAACGAAAATATAATTTGAGGCAACAACACAGATATACCATGTAACATATTTTGTTGGCAGAGTTGTATAGTCCTAATTTTGTGACTTGAATTGAGTCGAGTTATTTCATAGTAGTGACTTGAGTTGAGTCTAGTAATTTTAAAGAAGTGACTCGAGTCGAGTCGAGTCATTAGGTTGAAAATTTCAAAATGAAACTTGAAAAGAAGAACAATAATCTGAATTCTTTTAAGGTGTAGTCTACGTGGATCAAAAAGAATAGAAAACACAGAAAGTAAAAGGCAACAAGATCGTCGCATCATGAACATGATGAACCATTTCCACATTAGAAAAAATGTGATTGATTTTCCTTGAAATCAGTTAAATTTGTTTTTGATATGCCTTTATTTGAACACAAATTTCAAAACTTTTTTGAAAATCAAACCAATACTTACCAGGGATAAACTTAGGATTCCAAGCTTTAAAATTATATAAAAATAATGGCAGTACGTGTTTTAACAGTGACGCTAGAGCCTCGCAAAAATAGGTTGCGGGCATTTTGGGATGTACTGTAGTTTAGTCCATCACAAGTCCATCACAAGCCACGTCACAAGCTGTTCAAACGAAATCTAAGACAAACATTCCTTTTTCACTGTCTATGCTTGCGACTGGACTTGTCTGATGGACAGGTGACGGACTCAACTACGACACCAGTGAGAGTGCTCAACCTACCTATAGTCTGTTCCTATCATCCTGAAGGTATCAATCACTTGCGGTAGTTCATACTCCACCACAGCCGGCAGTTGCCCATCGCCGACGCCATCGCGATAGATGATGACTCTCTCGGGCAACTTACCGTTGATTTCTTTAAACTTCCTCAATGCGCCTAAACAAAAAAAATATACATGCAGGGAAATGACCAGCAGCATAACCAGGGGAGGAGCAGACTGGCAGATTGCAGTGGACCTTTATCAAGCTGCCACCATTTCGGTCATGTTCCCTGTATCCAATAACACTACTGAATGATAATGTTTTTGTGCAAAAAGGAACCAGACTATTTTTCTTTCCAGCCTCGCTTTGGTTGCGTTGATTTGAATGGGAAAAAATCAAGATAACTGCAACCTGATAATGGTGTATAGCATCGAGATTTGAAGCAAAATTGAGACGTTGACAGAAGCAAAATTGGGACGGAAAAATTAAGCTATTTCACACTCAAAGCATGTGTGCTCCCATCATATACTTACTTGTCATGCAGACTTTGAGACCATCAATGAGCTCCTGTCCTGTGTGCTGGAATGTACATCGTGAAAAGTACCTGTAAACACAATAACATGGCGAGCGACAGTGGATATTTTAAAAGGTCCATAGGATCATTTTGTGTGCAATTCTTTTCGTTTGAAGAAAAAAAGATTAATATCAAAGAAAGGTGCATAACAACAAAAATTGTTTGAGTTTTCAGCTCAGTGGATACTATTTATTTTGAGAAAACAGAGAAAATGTATGCACAATTCGTTGGGGTCTAGTAACTGGATTCACCTTTTTTGAACCACCTTGAAAGACTGTTTTCTTCAGAATGACACAATTTCATGCAGAATTATTTCAAACGGTAAAGATGCGTCAAGTGACGCATTTTTTGGAAGTTTCTGTTAGTAGTTGGTTTGTAATTCAGCAAATTTTGGATTGTATCAAGCAAGAAGTATGGAATTGGGATGTGATTCAGAACAACTACTAATATTATTTACTGCCTGCTAGCGACATTGTCCATGCTAAATGTGATGTTGTCTGCTCCTCATGTGTACAGCTGCAGTAACCACTAGGTTCCAGTTACTTAAGCTGTGCAGCCTACTTTGCTTAAGACTGCATGAAAAGTAACACTGTGAAATAATGACCAAATAGTGTACTCACCTACTAAGGTCATGATTCATGGAAGCGACAAAGCCACCAACAGAGCGCCCTCTAGTGGCGGAGTCGTGATAAGAGTCGATTCCTACCACCATCATCAACATTTTGGACTGAAAGTAATAAATGGAAAGACAAACAGAAAGACAAAGCTATTTAACTTCTGTAGAACACCAATTCATTGTATTGCAAGCACGCATCGATACATGAATTCACTGGAACTTGTAAAATAAACTCAAAACTGTAATAGGGTGCATGTAAAACTATCTGCACAAAGCAACTAACTTACAAAAAGTGAAACATTTACATAAAATGTAAAGGAATCTCCAGCTCTTTATTTGGCTGTGTAGATTGACAAATTTTCACAATAAGATAAAGATTTATAGTAGCACTACATGTATGTGACCGATCTCTTTTATGAGTTTGTCAGGTTCTGAAAAGAACCGCGGAGAAACTCAACGTTTTGGACAGTATGCTCTGCCTGTCGTCAGGAGACAGAGCATACTACATGTATACATAATATCTTCACAACTCGGAAAATGTTGCTAACAATGAAGCAGTTTCTCACAAATGGCCAACACGGATGAATTTGGGAGCACTTTTTAAAATCGTTTTTGCAAGTTTCTACTTGAATTAATGGTCATGTTTTAAAGGTTTCTCTGCAGCCCCTTTAAAAATTGGAACCTTTTTTTGTGACTCCGTTACAAAACCCTAGTGTGTTCCTGATTAATTTTTTATGCAACGATAGTAAGGCCGCAGTCTGAGAACCAGACACCACATTTATCTACTGCACTTTATTCACATAACATTGTAATACACTTATTTTTACATGCAATACACTGTATTTACTGCAAAGTGCTGAGGTGGTTTTGGGCGGTATAAGTAGTTAACAGGTAGGGTGCTTTGGGGTGGTACAGGGACTAAAGAATTAAGATGGCATTAACTCATGTCTAAGCCTGCCGTTAACAATGAAAATGTTTGCCAAAAATTTCTCATTTGGATACAAACATAAAATAACTGCCAACATTGATGTATTTGAGAAACAACCTTGTTTTGAATGTCGCGTTAAAACTGTCAATATTTTGGACATGATTACAAAAAATGAATAAAGAACATTAGGCTCATACATATTCATGAAATTGAATACCATTGTATGACTTACTGGAATTAAAACTGTCCACAACTCTCCGCCCATCTTGCAGTTAATTTGCATAGCAATCTTGGTAGCTACGGACATGACGGTCTGTTTCTTGTTGATAGTGCGACCCACAATGCACTGGCTGGGTACCGGGGCCTCTAGACAGCAGAACTTCTTGATGGCGTCATAGCGATCCTTACGAATAGTTGGTAGGATACACACAACCTGGGTAACAGTGGAACAAAAAAGTAAACAAAATTCTGAATACTACTGGTAAAAGTGCTTATTAGGCTTTGTGAAAGTAAGGCAATTAGGCGACTGAGCATGCAAGTTCACTTCAAAAAACAGCTTCCAATGACATTTGATGGGAATACTAGCCTTGATCATGACCAAGTCTGTCTACTTGTTCCCGTAACAAGCGGCCGCTACCGTACAGCATATATTAGCCTGATTTGCGTACCCGTTGTACTGTACATGTGAATTGCCACAACACTGCGCCGTGCACAGTAGCCTCAACGATCCCCTTGCTTATCTGCACGCTTAATTACGCCCCACACACACATATCTAACTTTTCCCCAACAGTCGAGGCAAAAGACAGCCTTGAAGCAAAGTATATGCTCACTATAATAAGTAGTTCAGGCTATAGTAAACAGTCTTCTCTCAGGGAACAAGTAGACAGACTTGGTCAAGGCTATGGGAGTACAGGCTTTCAAGTCATAATTGAGAAGGCAGCCTTTAATCACACTCACCATCTGTGTCTGGGGACTCAAGTTCTGTCGGATAGCACGAATGAAGCTTTCAGTGCGGTCATCACGTAACTCACATCTACAGAATACCAAAAAAAGGAAAGGAGAGAAAAAGGAAAGCAAATAAATTCCGCACTTCAAAAACCTTAAAGTTTTGCAAAGCCACTTTAGTCAATCGAGTTGGCATCCACACTTCAAAATCTGTTGAGGTAATCTTCTGTGGAGCACGGAAACCCTGCACAATGTTTTGGTGTGGTTAAGCTCATGGCAAGCAGGCAGATTCAGTCATGCTTCACTGCTCTACACAGTGCAGTTTTTTGCAACTTGAGACTCAGACTCGGACTCGACCAAATTGCTTCCAAACCTGGACTCAGACTCGAACCAATTACTTCCAAACTTGGACTCAGACTTGTTCCAATTGCTTCCAAACTTGGACTCAGACTCGACCCAACTGCTTCCAAACTTGGACTCAGACTTGAACCAACTGCTTCCAAACCTAGACTCAGACTCGACCCTATTGCTTCCAAACTTGGACTCAGACTCGACCCCATCACTTCCAAACTTGGACTTGGACTCGACCTAACTGCTTCTAAATTTGGACTCAGACTCGACCCAATTGCTTCCAAACTTAGACTCACAGACTCGACCCTATTGCTTCCAAACTTGGACTCAGACTCGACCCAATTACTTCCACACGTGGACTCAAACTCGACCCAATTGCTTCCAAACTTGGACTCAGACGTGACCCAATCGCTTCCAAATTTGGACTCACAGACTCGACCCTATTGCTTCCAAACTTGGACTCAGACTCGACCCAATTACTTCCACACGTGGACTCAAACTCGACCCAATTGCTTCCAAACTTGGACTCAGACCCGACCCAATTGCTTCCAAACTTGGACTCACAGACTCGACCCTATTGCTTCCAAACTTGGACTCAGACTCGACCCAATTACTTCCACACGTGAACTCAAACTCGACCCAATTGCTTCCAAACTTGGACTCAGACTCGACCCAATTGCTTCCAAATTTGGATTCAGACTCGACCCAATTGCCTCAACACCTGGAGTTGGACTCGACTCAAATAACTTGACTAACAATCTTGTAAACAGCCTTACATTAAGGGTGGTCTGGTTTCCATTCCCAAACGCGTCGCCACTGTGTTGAAGGCGTTCAGGAATTCCATGGCGTTCTTGCTATCACGCGCTGTGTAGATCAGCAGCCAGTTGTGCAGACCAATACAGCTCAGCAGATCCTTCCGCAGATCTCTGCTCCACTCTGCATTCTCACCCAAGGAAATCTCCTGTTGGTGTTTACAGGCATATAGGATTATTTTCTTTTCATGCATTTTGTTCAAAATTCCAAAGAAGAATGTCCAAAATTTAAGCTGTTGAAGTTTCAGCTGTGGATATTACACTTTGCGAGAAAACAGTGAAAAACCATGCACAACGTTTTGATAATGAAACACTATTTTGTCTACAGATCTTGTTATTTTCCAAAAAATCAGTCAATTGACTGATCGTTGGATATCACCTACATTTCTTGATTTCTTCTAAATGACAGCAAGCCAGACAAAACAATTTTACAGATTGTTTAGTACCAGTACAATCTTTAATCCAAGTAAGCATTTCAATGATAATTCAGAAGGTTACTTTTGAGACAAATGCAAATAATCCTCTATGCCTTTAAGAAGCGCTGACAACGATCATTTATAAGCAAACGAAACATAGTACTGATTTCACAAATCTTATTATTCCAATGCCTGTTCTTTTTCTTTTCAAATACTTTGAGGATTGTTATCAATTACCCAGAAAAGTTTCTAATGATTCAATGTCAGTATAAACCTTGCTCAAAGTGAAGAAAGGACTGGTATCAACTATCCTGAGAAATTATTCCAACTCAAATGCTAAGCTGAAACTTCAAAAGGTTAGTTTTTAGGCACCCTTCTTTAATATGAACACTTTTGTTGCTCCAAAAAAAAAAAGGAAATAGAAAGTATCCAACAAACTTTTCTAGCCGATTTCACCACAAATGTTTCGTGTTGTCAAATTCACTTCGCATTCACAAAAACTACATGTAACTTAAAAACTGGTCTTCAGCTTGACGTCCCAATCTCTTTGTCAGACTCACATTCTTTCCCTGGTGACCGGTGAGGATTTTCTCCCGATCCATGATGCGAGCGTTGATCCTGACTGGCTGAGCTTCAAAGCTCACCTGCCACTTTTGCAGGTAAGTACTCGCCTCTTGATTCCTGAAAGAAGGTTAAGAACACAGGTCACAAATCATTATTTTTCTGGGCCCGAATCAAATATTTTTGCGATTTTGGCATTCATTTTTGCCATTGACAAGCTATGTTTTCAATTACCAGCAAAGGTCCAGTCTATGCACTGAGTATACAGTGTTTATACATCTGTGAAGGGCAAAACCTAATATTAAAAGTCCACTCTGTAAAGCATACACATTATTATATTTCATGTCACCAGTATTGTGGTTGAGTCACTTCAGGGTCGAGTCCGAGTCGGAGTCTCAAGTCAATGGACCGATCCAGTAAGCACCGCCCCATTGTATTCTGACCAATCACAGCCGTGATTTATGTCCGACGTGCGTGCACAAAAGTCCGAAATGCGTGCACGCGTGTATGATGTGCGCGGCAGGAAAATGCAGTGTGGCATTGGAGAGGAGCACGTGTTAATTTGCCCACGTGCGCAGTGGGAGGGGCTTACTGGATCGGTCCATTGGGTCGTGGCTGAGTCCAAATCCAAGTCCAAGCGACGAGTCATTTGATTCTAGTTTGAGTCCGAGTAACATTTATATAAAATGGATGAAATATCTATGGATCAATGGATTTGAAGAAAGCGATTGGGTCAAGTAGACATGATCACCATGGAGTCCAACCCTCGAGTTGGGGGGCGGACTATAAACAGATGGATGATGGATGGATGTGAATCAGGATGGACTCACTTAAAGTGATATGTAATATATGAGATGTCGCAGGATATAGGGAGGGGTGCATTTAATGACAAACTGTCATCATTTACAACACCACCTGGAGTGAGGTGTGGTACATTTCATGTGCTTAACGTTCTTTAGTGTTACTGAAATGTTACTTCTGGGGGAAAAAAGAAATATGCTTAAATGGTTTGTTTTTGGTGTAAATAAATATATGATTCACTGCTCACGAGTCCGGAGTCATTAGTGTCAAATCAGAGTCATGATGGCCGAGTCTGAATCCAAGCCCAAGTCTTTTGCCTATGTGACTCGAGTCGAGTCAGAGTCAACAAAATTGCGACTTGAGACAGACTTGAATACGAGTCCTGGGCTCCAGTTCTACATCACTGGATGTCACTGAGTCAAAATAAATACACTCACACGCTGGGCAGGTTATTTTTGTGTAAAGTGCTGGCTTACTGTTAAAATGGCGCACAAAAGTTTTGCTGAATGTAGATTACCATCAATTGTTATTTAACAAAATTTTTCCGGATGTAAGGAAAAATAAACCTTACTGACCTGGGAAAGCTGCCGATGAAGTTGGTCAGCTCTTTCATGCGGACGTTGGGCGTGATGCGAGTGTACACAGACAGGTCCTTCATGACGTGGAAATCACTGCGCATAGCTTCGCTGAGCCCCGTCAGGGTACACAGCTCAGGGATCAGGTGGATGTGATCAATCATTCCCCGGCGCTGATCCTATTGCAATAAAAAAACACAAATAAATCTGCCTGTGATTATGGACTGGCTCCTGGTCCTTACTTTGTGGTTGACGGGCGAGTGTTGTGTGAAATTTGGACTCTATGAAATACAGATACATTAGTTGTATTACGCATGCCTAATAGTGAAGATAATTAGGACAGTGACAGATTTAATGTTCTATTCAACGAGGCGAAGCTGAGTTGAATGGAACACTCCATCTTTCAACGAATGAAAATATTCTCACAATAGCACGAATGCAAGATATTCATTATTTGTTTTGTATAACAACCAATTAGATCTTTGTCATTTGATTGGAGGATAAGATTTGAAGAACAAACAAAACTCACAAAAGTGCACCATATCCACTACTTTTTTCAGCTTGGTCAAGGCTAACAGAGGTTTAAAAGTCAAATCATTGACCATAATGAAAATCAACATTGTAATTTCTTAATCCAATGCAAAAAAAACCCCATCTTTGCAACTGCATCAACTTCAAAGGCAAGTTTTGTACTGCCTTTATGCATGATAATGGTTTAAATAGCGCAAAGATTGTATAGCGTCGGGCCGCTGCGCGTCGTAGAGTACGCGCGGCGTGCAATAGATCGAAAGGGATGGGACAAAAATGCAGGGTGAATGGAACCAAAAATGAACGGTTATGACATAGGCCGTGCAATGGTTTGTTTATTGAATGCCCCTTAACCTACAATCCTCCAATCAAATGACAAGGATTTACTTGGGTGTTATATAATGCGCTTTCAATAAGATCTGAAATAACTCACCCTTTTCTTTGGATTGCTGACCAGCAGTGGCTGTCCTAGATCACTGATATTTAGCCCGTACGCGTCCCGGTAGTACTGGGCGTAGGTTATTTTAGTGCCGTCCAACTTGTCGAATGTGTTCATGGGATCGATATTAAAGTCGATGTCGTCCACTCGGTAGGTCTTGTTGTTGTACCTGAATGACAGCCATGCAGAATTTATTTGGTTACTTTTTTATCCAACCCCAACCTCTCTCAGTCCACTGATCTTATCAACCAGGCATGCAACTGGGAAGTCACAAAAAAAGAGGAAATTGAAATCTTTCCAAGACTTTGAACAATGTTTTTCTAGTGAAAAAAAGAGGAAATCAGCTGATCCGAAGAAAAGTTGCATGCCTGATCAACTGATCTCAACCTAACTGATCCAAACAACTGATCCAAACCCAACTGATCCAAACCAACTGATCCAAACTCAACTGATCTCAACCCAACTGATCCAAACCCAACTGATCCAAACCCAACTGATCCAAACCAACTGATCCAAACCCAACTGATCCAAACCAACTGATCCAAACCCAACTGATCCAAACCAACTGATCCAAACCCAACTGATCCAAACCCAACTGATCCAAACCCAACTGATCCAAACCCAACTGATCCAAACCAACTGATCCAAACCCAACTGATCCAAACCCAACTGATCCAAACCCAACTGATCCAAACCCAACTGATCCAAACCCAACTGATCCAAACCCAACTGATCCAAACCCAACTTCTCTCAACCCAACTGATCTCAACCCAACTGATCCAAACCAACTGATCCAAACCAACTGATCCAAACCCAACTGATCCAAACCCAACTGATCCAAACCCAACTGATCCAAACCAACTGATCTCAACCCAACTGATCCAAACCAACGGATCCAAACCCAACTGATCTCAACCAACTGATCCAAACCCAACTGATCTCAACCCAATTGATCTCAACCCAACTGATCCAAACCCAACTGATCCAAACCAACTGATCCAAACCAACTGATCCAAACCAACTGATCCAACCCAACTGATCCAACCCAACTGATCCAAACCCAACTGATCCAAACCCAACTGATCCAAACCAACTGATCCAAACCCAACTGATCCAAACCAACTGATCCAAACCCAACTGATCCAAACCAACTGATCCAAACCCAACTGATCCAAACCCAACTGATCCAAACCCAACTGATCCAAACCCAACTGATCCAAACCAACTGATCCAAACCCAACTGATCCAAACCCAACTGATCCAAACCCAACTGATCCAAACCCAACTGATCCAAACCCAACTGATCCAAACCCAACTGATCCAAACCCAACTTCTCTCAACCCAACTGATCTCAACCCAACTGATCCAAACCAACTGATCCAAACCAACTGATCCAAACCCAACTGATCCAAACCCAACTGATCCAAACCCAACTGATCCAAACCAACTGATCTCAACCCAACTGATCCAAACCAACGGATCCAAACCCAACTGATCTCAACCAACTGATCCAAACCCAACTGATCTCAACCCAATTGATCTCAACCCAACTGATCCAAACCCAACTGATCCAAACCAACTGATCCAAACCAACTGATCCAAACCAACTGATCCAAACCAACTGATCCAACCCAACTGATCCAACCCAACTGATCCAAACCCAACTGATCCAAACCCAACTGATCCAAACCAACTGATCCAAACCCAACTGATCCAAACCAACTGATCCAAACCCAACTGATCCAAACCCAACTGATCCAAACCCAACTGATCCAAACCCAACTGATCCAAACCCAACTGATCCAAACCCAACTGATCCAAACCAACTTATCCAAACCCAACTGATCTCAACCCAACTGATCTCAACCCAACTGATCCAAACCCAACTGATCCAAACCCAACTGATCCAAACCAACTGATCCAAACCCAACTGATCCAAACCACCTGATCCAAACCCAACTGATCCAAACCCAACTGATCCAAACCCAACTGATCCAAACCCAACTGATCCAAACCCAACTGATCCAAACCCAACTGATCTCAACCCAACTGATCCAAACCCAACTGATCTCAACCCAACTGATCTCAACTCAACTGATCTCAACCCAACTGATCCAAACCCAACTGATCCAAACCCAACTGATCCAAACCAACTGATCTCAACCCAACTGATCCAAACAAACTGATCCAAACCCAACTGATCCAAACCAACTGATCCAAATCCAATTGATCTCAACCCAACTGATCCAAACCCAACTGATCCAAACCCAACTGATCCAAACCAACTGATCCAAACCCAACTGATCCAAACCAACTGATCCAAACCCAACTGATCCAAACCAACTGATCCAAACCCAACTGATCCAAACCCAACTGATCCAAACTCAACTGATCTCAACCCAACTGATCTCAATTGACCGATCACAACCCAACTGATCTCAACCAAACTGCTCTTAACCCACCTGACCTTGACCTATTTGATCCAAACCCAACTGATCCAAACCCAACTGATCCAAACCAACTGGTCTCAACCCAACTGATCCAAACCAACGGATCCAAACCCAACTGATCTCAACCAACTGATCCAAACCCAACTTCTCTCAACCCAACTGATCTCAACTCAACTGATCTCAACCCAACTGATCCAAACCCAACTGATCCAAACCCAACTGATCCAAACCAACTGATCTCAACCCAACTGATCCAAACCAACTGATCCAAACCCAACTGATCCAAACCCAACTGATCCAAACCCAAGTGATCTCAACCCAACTGATCTCAATTGACCGATCACAACCCAACTGATCCAAACCCAACTGATCCAAACCCAACTGATCCAAACCCAACTTCTCTCAACCCAACTGATCTCAACTCAACTGATCTCAACCCAACTGATCCCAACCCAACTGATCCAAACCCAACTGATCCAAACCAACTGATCTCAACCCAACTGATCCAAACCAACTGATCCAAACCCAACTGATCCAAACCCAACTGATCCAAACTCAACTGATCTCAACCCAACTGATCTCAATTGACCGATCACAACCCAACTGATCTCAACCAAACTGCTCTTAACCCACCTGACCTTGACCTATTTGATCCAAACCCAACTTCTCTCAATCCACTGATCACAACCCAACTGATCTCAATCCACTAATATCCAATGCCGTAGCCAGGGTTCTCATCCTAGGGGGGTGGGGGGGGGTACATTTGGGGCGGGGCTTGAGGTTACAAAGGTAGACAAGGTTTTTCCACTGGACACCCGCCCTCTGTACAACCAAATAGTGTGGGGGGGGGGGGGGGGGAGGAGTGACACTATCTTCCCATGGGGGGGGGGGGGCGTTCAAAATGTATATCATGGCTACATTAGACAATAACTACCGCTATTCGCTTCTAAGGGACGTTTACAATAAACAGCCACTCGCCAAAAAAAAAGTTTCGCTTTTGAAAGTTTCACAGAAAAAAGGGACTTTATGTTCTTTCAGCTAATCGTGGTAACTCATATGGCTGTGCTTTCTCCGGATGCCAAATTTTCTGTGTTTTTTTTATGGGGGGGGGGGGGGTGGGTGCCCCCCCCCACACCCCCCTTTAGTCATTGCTTATATCACCCAAAACTAATCTAAACCCAAACACCATCCATTCACTGATAATCTCAACCCAACTGATCCCAACCTAGGCCGACCCAACCCTACCAAACCAAATCAAGCCAAAGCCAATTCAACTAAACGGAACTAAACCGAAATGATCTAAAGTCAACCAGGTCATACTCAAACAAACAAAATTGAACTGAATCAATGCAAACCAAATCAAACACAACTGAGTTGATACGAACTGAACCGAACCAAACCATTCCGATCTCAACCATACCAAAGTGATTAGAACGGAACCGAACAGAACCGAATACATCGGACTAAAAAAAACCAAACTCAAGTGAACTGAACTGATATACAAGGTGAGTCAAAAGAAAAAGAAACCCAAATGTCGGGATAATTGTTTTAGTGAAGTTCTGCATGTAGCACTTTCAAAATCTAGGATATGAAAGCCCAATTCATATAAAGCTTTCTTTTGAGTACAAGAATCATTCAAATCACTCATGCAATTTTCAAGTTAGGGAAATTTAAACACAACCACTGTTTTAAAGTTCTGTCCATGGATCACAAAAAGGTAAGCGTTCTTTCAGCAAAACGAAACTGAATCACATATAGGGATGTGAAAGAACGCACACCTTGTTTGTGATCCGTGGACAGAACTTTAAAGCGTTGGTTGTGTTTAAAAATCTGCAACTTGAAAAGTACGAGAGCAATTTGAATTATTCTTGTACTAAAAGAAAGCTTATGAATTCGGCTTTGATATCCTAGATTTAGAAAGTACTACATGCAGAACTTCATGAAAACAACAGTCCCAACATTTGGGTGTTTACTTTTTTTTGACTCACCCTGTATGTACCAAACTTAACCCAATTGAACTGATGGATCTGAAATTGACCACACCTAACTAACTCAATCCAACCAAACAGACCTGATCTGAAACAAACTTAACCAAACAATGCTGTTCCCTTACTTGGTCAGGACAATTTCTCCTGCCAGTACTCTCTTGGCCACATCCGCCCAGCCTGCTCCCTTGGTCTGCTCAATCTCAGCCAGCATGTCCAAGACTGTCTCCGTCCTCAGGATCTTGTGAGAGACGTCCGCCATCAGGAGGACCTCCTGCTCATACTGCAAGATGGAGGTGATGAAACCTGGCAGGAGCTGGATCCTGGAGGGATGAGGGGAGAAATGACGGAGAGAAAGGAGCATCAAGGAAAGGGGAACAATCAACACAATAAAAAACAGTCTTAAAAACTGTGTAAGCATAATCTAATTTGTTTCTGCCATTGTAAACATTTGATCTGCCATATTGTCTCTTTACTCACAAAGTGACAAAAACCTCGAAAATCGATAACTGTTCGATTTTGAGTTTTACTAGCCTTTTTATTATAGTTGTCTCAAGGAACAATTTGACCAAGTTTCAAAGCGAAAAATTGTTTACTTTCTTACTTATTGTAAACAAAATTTGACAAAAAGCCTGAAATCCGTGTTTTTGTTTTTACGAAGTGTAAAAAGTGTAAAATGTTTTCACGAAGTGACAGAAAGTCACCTCGTGGGCAGGGCCGGAGGAACTACACATTGGTCTTCACGCGTCAGGATGGGAGCATACACGTGCGTGCGAACGTTGTTGAAAAAGGACAGACGCGCGTGCGCTCAACTGTCGTATGACGCGTAAAAGTTGCAAGTTTGTTGCATCGACAAAAGTACAAATAAGTAAAGCCTCCGCGATTCATGTTCCCACGAAGTGACAAAAACTGTGTGCAAAGTAATGGGGAAAATATGGGACCCAAAGTATTGATGTTTTCACAAAGCGTAAACAAGTTTTATTAATGAATTACTGTTTAATTTAATTATTTATTTTTAACAAACAACTATGAATCAGCAAAGATCAAATCATAAGCTATGGGACAATGCAAACATTTCCAAATTCTTTTACTGCGAAGTAGTCGAAAATGTCTTTTGAAAAAATAAATAACTTCAAATGCGATTGTTTCTGGATGAACTTTTGTCGATTTTTAAAGTTTTTGTCACTTCGTGAGCAAAGCGACAATATGTGACCTACTGTGGCAAAATGAGGAATGTCCCCCAAAACAATGTAATCAACTCCTGAAATCAATGTTGGTTTTTTTTTTATTTTTGAAAAGCCAAGTTATCCAAGATTCACACTTTGCCTTTTTGTTGGGAACAAATATCCCCAAAAGTTGGAAACTGAAGAACGTTTTCCACTGCCGTTCGCAGCGCAATGTGCATTTCTTTCTTCAAAGCCGTTTTTCTCGAAATGAGGTTGGTAAAATTTGGTGGGACACTGATGAAGTTCCTGCGGCATATCTTGGGAGTACATTAAGCTACAGAAACAAATTTGGTATCATTTGAACGCTAATGATTTACGCTTTAACATGATGTACGTAACTTGAAAAGTCAAAGGGGGGGGGGGAGTTTATTCCTCATTATGATATGGCAGGTGACATATAGCAAGTCTACATAGGCCAACATGTGCAGTGTCAAATTTCCTCACTTTACTACCAAACCTGCAAAAATGAAAGATGTTTTGCAAAATCCACACAAAAGGCTCTCATATTTAATGGCAATCCATATTTCTGCTTCATGGCTCTGTCTATTACTATATACAATCTCCGCCACTTCAAACAATTTTTAAAGAAACTCAAAGCCATGCTGACCTATGGCTACAGATATTTCACATCTACGTTCAACTTACGACATGAGCTAAATGGTTTCACTTACTTGTGTTGCTGGATTTCCCTTTTGGCGTTGGGGTTGAAATAGTTCCGGCCAATCTGCTCAAAACCGACCAATCCAAGAATCCTAAAACAGTGAAAGTAACAATGTGATAAAAAATTGCGAGCACGAATTACGCTTCCCTGAATTCCTTAAAAAAATATACTTCAAAATTGTATCTTTGTTTTTAAGAGGCCATGAACTGAAATTTACACTTGAACATTTTGTGCAATAGCTTAGAAGGCATTTAAAAGGTGCATCTTTGTCACTGTTAACAACCTGTTGATAATTTTGAAAATATTGTATTATTTCCATAAAACTGAAATTAAAATGACAGCAAACTAATTACTTTCCTACTTTTCCACACAGACTCAACTTTCTTCAAAGTTTTGGAGATTTGTCAATAAAATTTGTCATTTTTCACAAAGGAGAATACAAATAATCATTTCTGATTGATTTCTAAGTCAATTCTGACTGATTGTTTCAGCTTTTCGCGGATGGTCATTATTTAGTATGCCATTAAATAAAAACCCTGGGTCTTACGTGTTCTTTAACCCTAATCCTCCAAAATCCTCTGGATGGTTTTTGGAGGATTGAGGATGAATGGTGAAATTTTTGCATCGGGGTGATAAATCAAATTATAGGTTTTGCCCTTCACCGACGTCTAAACACTGTATACTCAGTGTGTTACCTCCGAGTGAAAGTTGGAAAAAATCATTCGAGTGGGACTCGAACTCATGACCTCAAACGTCTGCACTAGAAAGCAGGAGGTTGTGGGTTCGAGTCCCACCTGAGTGATTTTTTCCAACTTTCTCTCGGGAGGTAACACACTGAGTATACAGTGTTTAAATGTCGGTGAAGGGCTAAACCTATAATTTGAGGATGAATGGTGTTTGAGAAACATGAGGATTTTGGAGGATTGAGGATGAATGGTGTTTGGAGGAGGATTTTGGAGGATTGAGGATGAATGCATTTTTTTGTCTGACAATTTTGAAGGATTTAGGCGCAGGGTAACCTACATTTGAACATAAGTGCAACATTTTGGAGGATTGAGGATGGTTCCCAGCAAAAAGACCCTCGGGGGTTTAGAGTTAATTTCAGCAACGATGAAAAAAAGAGCAAACCTACTTGCGGAAGATGATGTTGTAAACCTGCATGCAGGTTGGTGAAGTAGGAGGCAGCGCATTCTTGAGAGCCACAGTAATAGTGATGATGTCATCAGAGTCACGGCGTTTGGTTTGAAACCTGGTCACCTAGAGTTTGCAAAACAGACAAAAATAAGTATAGAAAATATATGTACATCTCATGATAACATCTTTACAACTTTGCATCTTGTGTGGAGATTGATTGTTTCTGAAAAATATGTGAAATAACTCTACAGTGTGAGTACAAAAAAATGAAACCCAAATGTCGGGACTATTGTTTCAGTGAAGTTCCGCATGTAGCACTTTCAAAATCATTTTTGATTGAGAGCAGTGTAGTTTCAGTGCTGTATCCAGATCTATATGCAGATTGTTGCGGTTCCCATAAATTGTGATCATCCATGTGTGTCGTAATGCGAGAAGCGATAACCTTTTCAATGACCTTCGAAAGAAAAGATAATCATTCAAATAACTTGTGTACTTTTCAAGTTACAATTTTTTTAACACAACCACTGTTTTAAAGTTCTGTCCACGGATCACATAAAAAGGTGTGCGTATCTTTCAGTAAAGTGAAAACAATTCACACACATCCCTATGTGATTTGTTTTGCTAGCAGAACACTTTACCGTTTGTAATACCGTTTTGTGATCCCTGGACAGAACTTTAAACATTGGTTGTGTTTAAAATTCCGTAACTTGAAAATTACATGAGTGATTTGAATGATTCTTGTACTAAAAGAAAGCTTATGAATTGGGCTTTCATATCCTAGATTTTAAAAGTGCTACATGCAGACCTTCACTTCAACATAAACAATGGTCCCAACATTTGGGTTTCATGCTTTTTTTTACTCACCCTGTAGTGAAAGCCCAATCACTCTCAGATGCAGTTTTGAGGAAGGTAGAGCCCAGCAACATTCACATGACATGGGGCAGGTACAAATAATGCAGCATTGATTTCCAGTAGTATACAGCTGAGGATCTTAGAGGGTTGAGAAAGGTTCCTAGAAATACGCTAGAAATCATGCCGGCATTTATCTCCCATTAAGAAAATTTCTTTTCGAAATCAGTGACATACTTTTGCCATATAGCCTCAATCCTGCAAAATCCTCCATTTTTTTTGCAGAGGATTTTGAAAGATTTGGGAAGGTTAGGGTTAAAAAGACATTTTACATCTACTCACCGGCTCATCAAGCCTTCGGAGCAGGAACAACATCATCCCATCAAAGGCCATGGGGGTACCTAGGATCTCAGAGTGAGCCCGTAGCAGGGCATGACGTGCCCTAGGGTTGTCCACAACGGGGCTGAAGTCCACGCTGTACTGGTGCAGAAGCCACTGATCAGCAGCCTTCATGCGGAAACAGTTGGTCAAGACCTCCACTGGCTTTCCTTTCTTGCCTGGAGGATTATGAGAAAAATGCATGTTTTTTTTTTAACCCTTACCCTACTAGACCCTCCAACGCATGCCAATATGTGCCTCAAGAAAATCTCCTATGTTTTTTGCATGGCCCTCCAATATCTGCCATGTCATTTCAAGGGTAACTGGACAGGCACTCCAATACATGCCACAGAGAACAATGAGAGTCCTCTGATAACAAAGTGAGTGCCCCCAGCTGGTCAGTATCAGGCACCCTCCAGGGCCTCCAACTCCTGCCAATTGGAGCCTTCACTGCTACATCAAAGTATCCTCCAATAAACTGCAGCTGGAGGGCATTGGCATAACCAACTGACATGCAGTAAACTACCCTCAGAGAGTAAGGGTTAATGTACAATGGAGTTTGTGCACATGTTCTCACTCAATTGTGACAGAGAGAGATGACTTCAAACTTAAATGCTGTTGTTGCTGTGAGGTAGGTGCCTGTGCAAAGGCAATGCTGGATACTGAATCATTCTGTTGTCCCAGACGCTGATTTAGGGCGCAATTTAAAACATGACTAGGTTATTGTCCCTTATTGAATGCAGAAACAAACTTACCTACCAACCGACACAGTGAGCTAAGGCCCAAGGCATATTTTCATGGCGCCGTGGGAAAAACTGCACTAATGACCAATGATCTACCCTACCTTTAAAGACAGCTTTTAGATGAGAAAATGGAATATTTATTGCAGGGGTGTGAGTGACCACTGATAAAAATAGCTGAAAACATCTGAAAAAGGTGTAAAAAAGCTGAACTTTGGGAATCTCCTATACTTTTTTACACAGCAAGTGAGGGAAAAAGCTGAAAAAGGCTGAATCCAAAACTAATAAAAATAGCTGAAATCAGCTTTAAAGCTGAGATTTCACACCCTTGTTATTGGCACATTATAAGGGATTACAGGGCACCAGACCTACCTCTCTTATCAATGGGTCTGGGTGCTTTTTGTTCTCCGTAGCGGAGCTCTGTCTGTCTGCCGCGGCCACTGACTCCCCCTCCCTCAGCACCCTGGGCCCCGCCCACGCTCAATGCTGCCATCTGAGCTGTAGGGGGCGCTTCAGCTGGCATTGGCCTCGGGGCATGAGGATGGTAACTCTCGGCCATGGCCGCTCTTTGCTCCATGCTTATAGCAGCTGTGTAACAAAGAAAGTAGTTTAAACAGTGTGAGTATAAACCAGTTGGCGCAAGTCAGATTTCACCCGACCCCTTTAATTGTCTCCTGTGCAGTCATGCATGAAAACTAATCCAGTGAAAATGTCACCAAAAGAGGCAGGAAGAGTTACTCTAAAAACTACATATGAAAATATCTATATTGCTACAGAATGAAACTATGGCCAATTATAAAAGTGTATATTTTTTTTTACTCATACTGTATCTATAGGGTCATTCTATAAATTTGGGGTCCACTTTTTTCCTGTCCCTGTTACATCTGACATCTTGATTTGAATATAGAGCATGTACATGTATATGTAAATTTGCTGGAAGTTTTTTGTGTTAAGTTTCAACCTCCAAAAAATAGATTTTGTTTTTAAATTGCAATTTTTTTAGCAATACAAAAGATAATCACTTTCATCACCATAAGTTATCACTTTTGTATGAAACATCGCGCAAAAAAATTCCATCCAAGCTTATTAACCCTCCTGCTATCTGAAAAGTCACAGACAGTTAAACAAGTCAATCCTCTTCCCTGTCATGCGTTTTACACAGGCTAGTCGCCAACAGTTAGATCATATTTCAAGCAAGCACTGTGACTAGCCAAATTCAGTCAACCGACAAAAGCAGGCAAGTGGCTGGCACAGCTGGCTTATCAATCTCCTACAGTCAAAGCATAGCTGGATCAAGTAGACAGTCACAGCCAGTCAATCCTGCTTTATGTAGGCTGGGAGCCCTTAACTGTTGAAAACCGTCACTTAATTGGCTTTGACTGAAAGGACAACTTGTTTCAGGTTGTATGTTTGCATACTTGCATAAGAGGGTTAATCAGTTTACAACTCTCAGATTGTTTGCGGCTGACAATAATTCAGGCATATATTTTATACATTATGGGCACAGGCACAAAACAACCCAAAATAAAAGCATATTTTCAGAGAAAATGAATAAAATGAAAATGCATAAAACTGCTGCAAACTGCTTTGACTGGATTGACCTGAAATATGCAAATCTAAAAATGTAAGCGGCCTGACGTTTCGAACCTAACAAGTTCTGGCTTCATATTTTCAGAGGGTTGAAAGTGTGTACAATAGACCAAAAAAGAGGAGTTTTTCCATCTTAATATTCAATGCAAAATGAAAACACATACAAAATGAAAGTGTAACTTCATGAAATTGTGGTTTATTTGAAAAATTTAAAATTGTTAGAAGAAAAAAATCAAATTATGTTGAAGAGCATGGATGGGGAGGAACTCTCAGCCTGAAAAATTTCTGTCAATGGATACCCACCTCCTGATCCAGGGACCTGGGAAGCCCCACCCCTGGTTCTGCCCCTCCCTGGGGCAGGCATGGCTTCGGCATCACCACTAGGCATGGGCGTGGCAGACGCTGTCTCCCCAGGCCTCCGGGGCTGGCCCTGCTGCTGCCCTGCAGAGGCTCGCCCGCGGCCGCGGCCTCGCCCCCGACCACGGGCACGCCCGCTGCCAACGCCTTGCTGACTGTCGGCCATGATGGGTGTTTCTACTTTTCTTTGCTCTGGGGAGGAACAACAGCTTATGGTGATGAACAGAGGTTACATCAATTATGAATGGTAAAACAGTGAAATGGCAACACCAATGAACAGTTAAAAGCATTTGTTTAATGGGACACAAAGTCCTGAAGTTTATACTTTAGATTGTTTACTTATCCTATTTTAACAGTCTGGTTGAAAGAAAACTAACCCAATGTCTTACTAAGAAAAGGTACCCTCAATAAGAGTTTTTTTTGCGTATTAAGAAAGAGAATAAAATGCTCCTTACCACGAATCAGATATTGTGTTGACAAGTTATGGCTATTTAAAGTTCACTCTTATAAACGTGTAAAAAGAAGTAAAGTGCTGAGAAAAAGACATTCAAATTTTCAAGTTTGTATTTATGAAAATGAAAGATGCCAATTATTTTTTTTCCATGAAAACACTTGCACTCCACAACTTGTAAGGTATTTCTATAATTGAACATTCTCCAAAAAGGCACACAAGGGACAGTGTACAAGCATTACATAGGCTGTGTGGACTTCCGAACAAAAGAGGTCCACATAAACCAGGTAGCAGCGACGTTGTGAGGACTTGCCCACGTCCACACAATGTTTCCCCATTTCTAAAAAACAGGTTTAGAGGCATTTTTGGGTTAGATTTATCTGTGGCAGAATGAAGAGAAACACTAAAGGGAATCATAGAAAAAAAATTGGGTTTAAAGAGTTTTCACAGTTTGAGAAAAATGAAACCAATGGAAAGTCCACACAAGGTATGTAACGTAAGCCTGTGTGTGGGTAAACTGTACACAAAAATTGTTGGACTCTGATTATTGGTGGAATGCCTCAGTTTACTAGTGCAGTACTCATCCTAACAGATTCCAACAAACCCTGGTGTTGGAGTTCGGCAGGATGGGTATTGTTAGGGTTAAAGTGATCTTACAGTACCGATGTAAAGGTACCAACAATTAGGTTCTGTAAAAGGCCTAATCGTCTCTGGCAGGTATAGTGGAATCCGGTGACCAGAGAGTTTTCACTTCGGTGGTGTTACACTCATACGCATGCATTTTGGTATTCTTATTTGTCAAAGGAGCCGGAGTGCGTGTTTGAGCCTGACTAATTGCGCAAGCCTATATGTGCCACTGCAGAAAATAGCTGCCCCCAGATTTGTCTATAGCGCTGGGGCAGATTTGTCTGTAGCTCAATGAGCTATGGGACCCTGGTTCGTATTCACAAAAAGACTTAATGCCCATTATGTGGCCCTTGCCCATTATGTGGGTACTTCCAAGTCACTGAAGTGAATCGCTTTATGCCCTATACAGCCAGCTAATCTCCAGAATCAGCGGCACGCTCCGAGCGAACCGAAAATCATCGATCGATGAATATAATGCGTGCACATTTCAAGTGTCAGGTTGGCTCAGTGTGGAAAGGGCATATTTTTCATCATTTTGGCAAAAAAAAACGACAGAATCCAGCGATGATTGTTCTGCGCACATTACATGAGTATGTCATGAGGTATAGTACAGAGTTTAGGGGCAAACTGTGCAGCGGTTCTGTGGGAAATGTCTGTGTTTTGATGGACGTTTTTGAACTTAATTAGTGTTTTGTGCTGCAACATAGTTCTAGGAGTAACAGACGCTAGCTCAATGAGCTATGGGACCCTGGTTCGAATCCCCGCACAGCACTAGGCCCCTACTCAACATTTTTTTGTTTGTTTTTAATAGATGTCTTAATTTTTACATTTTTAATCAAAGTGTTCTTTTTATTTAAGTAGACGAAACGAATGTAGTAACCAGACGCCACTTCAGCGGTTGTGTACAAAGTCCATGGAGAGTGAAGAACATTTTCCTAACATTTATTTCCTAACAAATTGGAAATGTTTTTTTTTCAACTTTTTTTTGCAATGCATTGACTGACCTTTATTGAGATGATATATGAAGAAAAAAGTGGCGTCAGGTTGCAACATTCTTTCCAATCACAATTTTAATACTAATACCTACTAAAAAAAGTAATTGAAGGGCTAAAAAACAACAACGCTAAACCCGACCTGTACCTGTTTCTGAGTGACCTCTGGCTCCCAGGAGGTGCAGAAGACAACATTGGAATGATCCACACGTTCCTGGTTACTGAGCTGGGATTCTATGCGCTGTCGTGCCTTCTCCTCTGGTAGACGATCCCTGTCTAGAATACGCTTCAAGGCCTGGCAAAAAAACAACATTGAAAGAAGATGAAAAAGAATAAACTACAAGGTCAATGTCACCAAAGTAAAAATGCAGAAACAAATCTTACTCTAGTTATAATTGACACATGTTGAGAAGCTGAGTATCACATAATGAGAATGGAGTGTAATTTCAGAGTGACTGAGAAGTGCACATGACTGTTTTCATTGTAGTGAATGATTCATGAGCATTTTTAAAAAATTTGCACTAAATATGGGCTAGTCCAATAATAACACTGTGTGCAAAGATGCTCAAAGGGGCGTGGTCTTGTCATAATGAATGAGGTGCGACCTATCTCATCCTTATGAATAATGCATGACCACAACTTATAGTAGAGCTAATCCACCCAAGCTTCACTCATCAATGGAAGGCGTGACTGTCCTCATCCTTGCGAATTATGTATGACCACAGCTCATAGCAGAACCCAGCCCATCCATCTCCAATCTCCTAATTGGGGGTGTGACTCACCTCATCCTTATGAATAATGCATGACCACACCTCATGGCAGAATCCATCCCAGCTGGCCTCAATCACCCAATGAGAGGCGTGACTCACCTCATCCTGATGAATAATGCATGACCACACCTCATGCCATAACCCGTCCCACCCAACTTCAATCACGAATGGGGGGCGTGACTCACCTCATCCTTATAAATAATGCATGACCTTGCACATCTCATGCCATAACCCGTCCCACCCAACTTCAATCACGAATGGGGGGCGTGACTCACCTCATCCTTATAAATAATGCATGACCTTGCACATCTCATGCCATAACCCATCCCACCCAGCTTCAATCATCCAATAAGAAAAGTAGCTCACCTCATCATAATGAATGAGACGCGACCTATCTCATCCTTATGAGACCACAACTTATAGTAGAGCTAATCCACCCAAGCTTCACTCATCAATGGAAGGCGTGACTGTCCTCATCCTTGCGAATTAATGAACACAGCTCACAGCAGAACCCAGCCCATCCACCTTCAATCTCCTAATTGGGGGTGTGACTCACCTCATCCTTATGAATAATGCATGACAACACCTCATGGCAGAAGCCGTCCCACCCTGCTTCAATCAGCACGGCTGCATCCAGCACACACACCAGGCATCCTTCATCACCTCCAGGACCCTCATCTCCTCCTGAACCATGCTGGCAATCTCCGGCCAGACGATCTGGTTCAGCCGGTCCAGACGGGATCAGTCTTGGAAGACTTTGGCGCCGAGAGCACGCCTGTTGACAAATGGTTGATGCTTCCATCAGCCCCAACATCTGCAGAACAAAAATATGTTTACACCTTGATAATTGTAAAATAATCCACTGACAAATATCCAGCCCAACACAGCACAAGATTTTTTGACGGTCCCAGAAAGGTCCAGCCTAAGTCCTTTTTATTTCTCACAGACTCACTAACTGACAGTTACTTGTGAATTAGCCTGGCTATTTATCTCACTGACTGACTATCCCTTATGACTTTAATACACCAGTCTAGGAGCAGCTTTACGAGGCTTGTCTATTCATTTAAGTCATGTTTCATCTACAGTGTAATTCATCGAACAAGATTAGAAGCCATTTTCAGTGGTGCCATGCCCACGCGCACGAAGCACACTTTCTTAAAGACGAGACGCGTGTGCATTGGTAGCCCTATTGGTCCAAGGACCCCTGAGTGCGTGCATACTACCTGAGCGCGACTTGCACGAGCCTGGTGCCACCGCAGTGCCACCTCAGAAAATGACTGTCATTGCATTAGTGGATACCAGATGTCCATTAGTCTGACACAGCTTGTTATTTGTAACTTCATGATCCATGTGTTGGCAGTAAGTCAAGTCTCCATGCGAGTGGTGACAGTGGATCTCTCATTTCTATCACGTAATACTACTACAGCTTATTCTACAAACTCTTCAGCCATTTTCAATCCAATGAACGGGAGGTTTGCGGTAACACCATGTGAATGATAGCTCTTTTGAGTTCTGAGATTTGAACCAGTTGTTTTACTCGACCTTTCGAACAGTATGCTCTGTTCGTCATTAATCTCCTGTTGACAAACAGAGCACACTATTTGAAACGTTGAGGTAAACCAACTGAGTAAGATTTGAGGCTTTGCATGGTGGAGATACTAATGAATGAAACTATGAAAGGTTTGCGGAAACACCATGTGGGAATAATTTTTTCAAACTCTCAAACCAACTGGTTCTTCTCAGAACCACACAACTTTACAAAGAGATATCATTCACATGGTGTAAACCTCCCATTCGTTGTTCATGTCCACCATGCAAACCTTCAAATCTCATTTTCAATCCAACGACGAAAGAGTATGTTTTCCGCTCTGTGAATTTTGTCCACTCAGCTTTACTAGACTTGCCTTAGCTTGTTGAAAAATACTTTGGAGTTTTTTTTTCAGCACCCACCTTGTCCCAACTCAGTCAGCACTCTCCTGAATCCCTGCGTGCCTGGTAGGTAGGCCTTGTGCCCCAGCTTATCACAGTCAATCACTGCAGCACCGAGCCCCTCCAGCCGTCTACATACTGAAGACTTCCTGCTGGCTATGCCACCGGTCAGACCAATCACGTATGGGGTGCCAGGTAGATCTTTATTCTAAAGGGAAATTTTATAAAAATTGACAACTATTTCAACAATTTTAACCAATTTCAAATTTTTTGTTAAAACTTGATTGAGTCCGCATTCCATTCAGCCCTGCATACTGCACATGTGGGCACCGTGCATAAATACCAAATTTCATTGTTACAAAACCCAATGAAAATTAGCACTCTATCTCCTTTGTTCAATTCCTCAAGCCATTTAAGAATATTAGGTTTTTAAATTTGTTTAATTATTTTATAACTTTTTGTAATATATGCGTATCTTTTTCAGAATACAAGTTTATCAAACAATTTTGTAACGTAATAGGTTGGCAATAATCTGGTGATTTTAGTATTCTCATATATAGGGCCTATGCAATTGAAGCTTCTCCATACTATTTTTTTTTACTCAGTTAATAAGTTCTTAAGTTTTTTATGTTTGTGGATACATCTATATGTATTATGTTGCAAAACATGGGCGTCAATCCTGGGGGGACAGGGGGACATGTCCCCCCACTTTTTGAACGGTGGGGGACACAATATAAAATGTCCCCTCCCCCCAGATTTTTGAACTCATGTCCCATTTAGAGGGCCCTATTAAGTATTACAATGTATCTTTTGCTTAAAAAAAATATTGGTTAAAGTGGTCAGAAATTACTTCAGATCGCTGTTGAAAGTGTCGTTTCCACCGCGTTGTAATATATTAGTGTGACCTCGGGTACGAGTTCGTACTACATAAATTGATGTATGTTCATGTGCCACGGGGGACAGTGAAGCAATATTTCTGCTATGACCGCCATTGTTGTTTACATCGTTTGTCACAGTTCGTCTGCTTTTTGAAACTGTGCCAATTTCACTGTAATTTCAGCGTAATAATGTCAGCAGATTACAACAGGTTGCCTCCATAGAAGAGGTTGCTCTCTTGTTCCCTCTTGTTCCAAAGACGTGATCAGAAATTTGATTTTTGAACAGGACAGCATCAATCAGCACGAAGAAAAATATGGAAAATTCTGTGGAATAGTCTGCACCGCAACAAGAAGAGACCAACAGTTTTAGGGCCCTGTCACACTTCTGCGTATCCTAATTCCTTATGAGTTGCGCATTGACATTTTTTTCATACACAGTCGTACGCACAATACGCACCTCATATGCATCTCTATCGTTTTGTGTAGGTTTTATGTATGCAGATATACGCATGGTACGGCCCAGTACTCAGGATAGTTTTGGGCATGCACAAAACAACGCTGCGTACGCTGTTACGCAGGTCATAAGTTATAAATACGCAGCGCATCGGTCCCGCATCGGTCGAGTGCGTTACGAGTATGCTATGTGTTCGTGACGCACCCCGTCAGCATATGAGCCGCCTGTATTGGACGTATACATAGCGTACTTGCAGCGCAGATGCAACGCACGCTGGACGGCGAGCGGCGGAAATGCGGCGGGAATACGCTCCGAAGTGCGTCAAGCATGCGGTCGGCATAAGTCGGGTGCGTCCGGAATACGCTCGGCGTGCGCACTGCATACTGACCTATTCGCAGCCCGAAAAATAGTGTTGTGTACTGCATACGGAACTCATACGCATCTCATACGCAATGGATGCGCTGAATTCGTTACTTGTACGCTAGATGTGCGTAGCACATAAGTCAAAGTGATCAAAACATTTCAACGTTAATCGAGCGTACGGCTGCGTATTGAAAATTTTTGATAAGGAACTCATAAGGAATAAGGATACGCAAAGGTGTGACAGGGGCTTAAGACGCAATGACAGAATTGGACAGCTGTAATCTATTACCATGGTATAACAAAACAATTGTTGCCTGCTGTGGTGTTTTGTTCACCCGGGGGGGGGGGGGGGGGGGGGGGGCGAATGGCAGCCTCGGCTTCGCCTCGGGTGCCATTTGCCCACTCCGGCAAACACCATGGACCCTATAGCTGTCACAGCAGGCAACAATTGAATAATGCACCAGTCATTTTCAATTGTTTACCTCATATTTGCTCAATATGATGCAAATAGAAAAGGACCAGTGTGTATGCTGCATGCCGCCAAGGGTCTCAAGAGTCTTCCATTGTTTTGTTCTACCATGGTCTCTTAATTACACTTCTGAGCCTTTAAGCAGATTCAACAGAACAATTCAAAAGTGGGGTTTTTTTTTGGGGGGGGGGGGGGAGTGTACAGACAATTTTTTCTGCTTTGTCACCCCAACGCATTAATTTAGTGTTTATGTATGAGTACAATGCTCAGAATAATTTCATGAGGTGACAGACGGAATGTTTCACTCCACAAGGCAAAGCTGAGTGGAATAGAATATTCCATCCATTGCCGAACGTGAAGCATTCATTACTTGTTTTATACAATGCCTGAATAAATTGCTTGTCATCTGATTGGTAGCCAATAGTGCATGTGACCGTGCAAAGGAACTTCGACTTTATCTTGGAATGAACTTCTGTTTTTGACGTGCGACTCGGCTGTATTTTGGGACAAATAATTCAATGACCCACCCATCAGATGAGGGGGGTTTATTCAGGGATTGCAAGATATATACTGATAAGTGGGTCATTGATCACGTGTCATTGAATTATTCGTCCCAATGGCATGGCCACACTGCAAAAAAATAGAAGTTCCATGCCACAATAAATGGAAATTTCATTGCATGGTTACAGTTTTGGCATCTCTGACCGACGAGGATTTATTCAGGTGTTGCATAAAACACATACGTAATGAATGATTCGCATTCATGCAATGGCACTAATTTCATTCAGTGACTGATGGAATGTTCCACTCTACTTGGTTTCGTCTCTTTGAATGGAACACTCCATCTGTCACCTCATGAAATTATTCTTACCATTGCACTCACAAACATACTGAACACAATACATGTATGACCCACTCTCAGCTAAGTGAAAAGAAAGAATGTAAAAAGGGTTGTGTTACATGAATACTTGATTTGATGCGTTCTTACGTTGCAGCATGGATATGTCTGTCACACCAACTGTAATCTTCTCTTCTGCTCTCATCGCCGACTCGCTCAGCAGGATTTTATGTCCAGCGTGGATGCCATCAAGTGTTCCTCCAAGAACAATGCTTCTGTAACTCTTAACTGGCAAACAGTCTAGTACCGGTACTTCACTCACATCAGCAATGACTGGTGGAGAACTATCCACATTCGTCCAGACAGACTCTGGTATTGTTTCCACAACAGGATTTGTTGGGAATACAAACCACGACTTGAGTAAATGCTTGGAGTTTGTTTGGAGTGGAGCAGTCAGTCACTTACCTATTGAGCATTCTAGGGGGAGGCAAGGTGCCAGACCGGTTGCTGATATTGTCCAAGACGACTCTGACATCTTGCCCTTGTAGCTGTGCTGACTTTGCATAGATTGCGTAACGGGAATCAGTCTCTGTTTGTACGGTTCCAGTTCGTGGTCAAGGCCGGGATGCAGCTGTACGTAGAGTGTTTCCAATATGCAGCTGGCGGCATATGGCACAGTATTGGACTGATTCGTTTGATGAGTTGGTTAATCAGCGAGGTTAAGATGAGAAGCCCCGTTCATGCCGTTTTGCAGCTGGGGAGCATTTTGGTTCACTGGAAAGCACAGCAAAACCTGCACTGAATAAAAATGGAATGAAAAAAAAAAATCAAATATTCAAATGTTGTTAACCATGGAGGAATAGCTCTCTTAATTTGAATCACTTGCTCAAGTGAAAACAAGAAAAGTTTTTAGAATTTCTCTTCTGGGGTCCCGTTTTACAAAGGCTGAATTGTGAGTACCATTGTCCATCGGAAGGGGATAAAAATACAGACCTGTCAGGGGCGGATCCAGGAATTTTTGCAGGGGGGGGGTCAGGCACTTCAGATTTTTTTGAATCAGCAAATCAGTGCTGAAATGTAGACAGGTTTTTTCTCCAGACATTCTGGGGGCTGGTACCATTCTTCCAATGGGGGCGCTGTTCAAAACCAACGATCAGACACACTATATCACACAATAGTGTATATACCCCCTTAACCCCCCCCCCCCCTTAGTCAGGATAATGATTCACACAAGACTCATTTGAAGGCTCTTACAATGGTAGTATCGAAAACGAAGACCCCTAACACGAAGACCGAAGACCGGCCCACTCGAAAACGAAGACCTGTTTTCGAGTGGGTATTCGTTTTCGAATACACCAACTTGAAAAAAAGCACTTACGGCTGCTAATCATGGTAACATGATACGACTGTGCTTTTCTTTGGTTGCCAAATTTCCAGTGGGGGGGGGGGGGGGGGGCGACTGGCCAACCTCCCCCCCCCCCCCCAGCTACGCCGCAATGCGAAGTTGGTACAATTTTGGATATAAAACTATCCCAAGAGCGTTTTCATATTCCATTTTCAAAACAAAAGACCATAGGAATGTATCCAACGTATCAATGGAAAGCCAGTGTTCTCACCACAGGGGAACGAGTGGGGGGCTGGATTTTAAAGGGGGGGGGGGGTGATTTCTGTAGCAACGGTGGGGGGGGGGGGGGGGGAGAGAGAGAGACGGGAGCGGGGGGGGGGGGGGTTTGAGGGGGGATGTACTATTTTTAATAGGGGAGGGGAGGTGTGCAGGCTGGTTTTAAGCCACTGATAAAACATCGGCTGGTTTTAAACACATTTTCTTTGAACTGTTTCGGTCCAACATGTCAAAATCGAAACATATAGCTCAGTGCAGAAACAAAACATGTTTGTTGAAGGCAACGGCAAAACTGAGACCCATCTCCCTCATTGAGGTAGGGCTGGGAGTTTACGGATAATAGGGTAATCGGGTATCCGATAAACACATGGCCTGGATTGTGTTCGAATGAATATCCGTAAAAGAGGACAGGGATGATGGTGGGTTTGAACCATTCAATTCTGAGCCAACCAGAAAGTCACACACTATACACTCTTCCTCACATACTCATCTTAAGGTAAAATGCAATACAACAGAATGTGACTGACACAAAATGATCACACCAGAAACAATTGTGAGATACTGTTACGTCTCTCTGGGGTGAGAGACATTATCAAATAAAGAGTCAGATACAAGTATCTTACACACACACACTAGTACTTTATTCGGGATTATTTACATCTCAGGTCAATAGAGGGCGCACTATATACAATGTAAAGTTACGGCGTACATGATTATCTGTGTACAGACGTAGGGTCTATGGCCAGTGAGCGGACAGCTCGATAATCTACGTGTACATGTCAGGGACTCTGTCGGGGTCAGAGCCCAGATCAACAATGACCAGAACTGCCATTTCTGCGCGCTTTATATACACTTTTGGGTGCGCGTCTTAGCCAATGGGAGCATTGGATTCTGGTAGTTATGAATAATGCATCCGTGTACAAAGGCATGGGGAAAGTTCTCTATGGGAGATTTGTACACGGCTGACTTAGACAATCTACCGGAAGAAAGTCCGAGAGCAGTGGTTAGCGGGCAAAGTAGGATCACTCGTGGGTACCTTACGGGGAACTGATCCTCAAGGAAAAGGGAAAGGGAATAACTTCTCGGTACATAGGTTTGTGTACAAGACTTAGTCTCTAAGACTAGGTAGGAATCTACACACTAATGCTATGGAGTAAAACTATGAGATGAAGGACGTAACCTGACCTCTAGCTACCGTAGGTCTCGGCCAGTGGGTTAGCGGGACACACTCGCTGGGGTGTACGGGGTCACTAAGGGGTGAATACACGGGTAGGTTTTAGCGAGCCACATTCGCTAAATGCTTGGGGTCAATGTGGGTCGGATGCGAGGTAAGGTGTGTGAGGGGAATTTGCATCGACTCCGGGGAAAGGTGGAGGGAAAATGGCTAAGTCCTAAGTACATGTCCCATGGCGGTACATGTTCAATAGCTGTGAGTGCTACATGCATTGCGCGCTATACAATAGCGTACTGTATAATGTGCTGCACACTTCTACGTGTGTTTAAGACTTCATGGTAAAGCTTCGCGCTGTGTGAGGGCACACAGGATCGCTGCAAGCATTACGCTGTGCACGGAGTGGAATGGATTGGTTGGGAAAGAAGTAAACTACGTAATTTGCGGGAACGCAACAATACTAACATCATGTATTTTAATATGGAACCTGAATGCAATCCATATGTCTACTCCATCAGGCTATTACTGGGCAGGTCCAAGAATTCACACACGTTACGTCCCAGGAATGCTTATAACCCTCAAAAAAGCAATTAGATCAGTGTGGTTTTTTGTATTCTATTGTTGGGACATCTGATAAGAGAATACCGTACCCACATGAATTTGTGTTATTCTTTGTGATGAAGAAGACATGATACGCTACGTATGGGACCACAAGGAGACCTTTTCTTGGACTTGCCCTACTTGCAAAAAAGGAGAGTTTTCTAGTTTATTGTAAGAGTACTAGGCCTATACCGGTATAAATGGAAACAAGTCTTTTATTTAAAAGTATGTAAAGAGAAAATTTCACCATTTTCAGCCACTGCAAAGCATAGAAAGTGAATTTGACACCACACTTCATTAACATCCAAACATGTCAGAATATTGTTGTTGTTTTTATTTATATGAAAAAATATGAAAAAAATTACAATGCACCTAGTCAGTTACTCTTTGTGCTTTATTTGAAGAAAAAAAAAACATTGGTGTCATATTTCCTTCAGTAGTTTTAATGTTCAATTAATATAATTCTGAAAACTTTTCTGTAACCCCCCCCCCCTTCAATGCTGGGTCAAATCAGTTATTCCTTCATCTTTTTGCAGTTTTTAAAATTGATCTGCCCACCAACCTTTGCACTAATGTTTATGGGTCATTCCATGAAGTTCAAAAGGAACAGGCCATAATTTTCTGAGGTCTGATTATAAAACAGTTTTTTCTTTGTTATGGAATGGTTATTTCTAAAACGAATGTCATTTGACAATAAGCCTATAAGATAAGCTTTTAAATGATACCATGCTATATGATATTTAACAGTTGTTGACTGATGTGATGTGGGATATGACGTTTTGAACACCCGAGGGACGCATAGCGCCCGAGGCGAAGCCGAGGGTGCTATGCGTCCCCGAGGGTGTTCAAAACGTCATATCCCACATCACATCAGTCAACAACTGTTTTGTCATACCTCTGTCTTGATGATGTGTTTTACTTGTTTTTCTAAGGGAATTAAGGGTAGCAAACTGAAGGAATCTTTGAAAAGTTTTCTTTCAACATATATAGATGTAGGGGCATTAAAACAAGCTTAAGTTCAGAGCAATTTGGGGTAAAGGTTTTACAAGTTTAATAAAAAAAAATCTTCTGTCCAGTTCTTTCACAGGAAGTGTCTCGAAACGAGTGTCCCTGCCCATTTCTAGTTCTTCGCAGAATTCTCGTACAACGCGGACTGCGTAGTCGGTACAACGTTTGGTGTTCGATGAGTCTTGTTCAAAAGCTAAATCTTTTATTTGTTGTTTGGAGTGGCTCAAAAACCTTGTTTGGAGCGGAGAATCTGTGCCTCCGGGCTCAGCTGACATGTTGAGGCTGATGAGGATCGTATATGAAAAAACTAACTGTGTCAGCTCTGCATTTCCGAAGTTCTGAAGGCCTAGGCACCGTTACTAGAGTCAGTCAAAACGTAAACATAATCTTAATGCCGCTCGTCGCTGGCCGCCAAATTAAGGTCGTCTGCAAATGCACTGCTCCCTCACTGCTATACATTATATTGTGGAACGTGAAAGTACTGCGGGGTACCAGTGAATACAAGTATAGTCTGGTTTAAAAGCGGTCCGCGCATAATGGTTTGGACTGTGGGGCGGGGACTAGTCTACATGCAAGCGATATCACAATGTGATATACAACGGGAGTGTGCCATGCATATTTATCGCCCGGTCAGGTGATCGTCCTGGGCCAATGAAAATACAGTATAAAGACAGAGGTATGACAATCAAAAATAACTTTCATAACCAAATTCTGTAAATGTTATGGCGTCCGGCATAGACAATGAGGAAAAAGTGTGACAAAGCAACCTACAGTTCAAAAATAACTCATTTTTAAAAGAAAACAAGTGGACTGGAGTTGAGGTTTTACACAAATTATAGCAAGACAAGTCAGGTGTGTTTACAAACACAAATGCCCCGCAACGGTGACAGTTCCCATGACATAACACCACTCTTTTAACATCAACTTACATGTACCTTGGTCACATGGAACATTCATCGACAGCATTAGTGTCTTCTGTAGGTTTTATATGAATTAATCCCTAATCCCTATAATCTCAGAATAAATACATGATTTCTATTGTTTTAGCCACTGTGAACTTGACCCTTGACCTTTTGGCCCCAAATTCAATAGGCTTCTTAGGATTACCAAGAACAATCCACAAACCAAATTTGAAGTTCATATGTTAAGTATTTCTCAAGTTATCGCGCTGACAAGATTTCTATTGTTTTAGCCACTGTGAACTTGACCCTTGACCTTTTGGCCCCAAATGCAATAGGCTTCTTAGGATTGCCAAGAACAATCCACAAACCAAATTTGAAGTTCACATGTAAAGTATTTCTCAAGTTATCGCGCTGACAAGATTTCTATTGTTTTAGCCACTGTGAACTTGACCTTAGGCCTTTTGGCCCCAAATGCAAAAGGCTTCTTAGGATTGCCAAAAACAATCCACAAACCAAATTTGAAGTTCACATGTAAAGTATTTCTCAAGTTATCGCGCTGACAAGATTTCTATTGTTTTAGCCACTGTGAACTTGACCTTTGGCCTTTTGGCCCCAAATGAAAAAGGCTTCTTAGGATTACCAAGAACAATCCACAAACCAAATATGAAGTTCATATGTTAATTATTTCTCAAGTTATCGCGCTGACAAGATTGCTATTGTTTTAGCCACTGTGAACTTGACCTTTGGCCTTTTGGCCCCAAATGCAAAAGGCTTCTTAGGATTACCAAGAACAATCCACAAACCAAATTTGAAGTTCATATGTTAAGTATTTCTCAAGTTATTGCGCTGACAAGATTTCTATTGTTTTAGCCACTGTGAACTTGACCTTTGGCCTTTTGGCCCCAAATGCAAAAGGCTTCTTAGGATTACCAAGAACAATCCACAAACCAAATTTGAAGTTCATATGTTAAGTATTTCTCAAGTTATCGCGCTGACAAGATTTGTCCGGACACACACACACACCCACCCACACCCACCCACACACCCACCCACACACCCACCCACGGAAGGACAAGGCGGAAACAGTATGCCCCTTCGGCTTCGCCGCGGGGCATAAAAATGTACCCTTTCTATTGAAAAAAATAAATATCAGATTTTAAAATGTTTTGCCAAAATAGCATGCACAATTTAAAATGGGTTGTGGATGTAACATATGGTGTCCCGTGTTTCATATTATGTTACATCCACAACTGGCCTGTGCAAAGTTGTCTTTTTGCAGCAATTTTGGTCAGATTGACCCCAATATTTCATGATTGAACTGGTATTTGTAAAATAATGTGATCGTAGTCTAAGCAAATAAATGTTTTGGCCAAATATGAAGAAAATCTTATGCCTGTGGGCACATGGTGTCCGTGTTACATCCACAACCAGTTGACATGGTCATGCCTAAAATAAGTATGAATATCATGACCTGCAATCTGCAATTGCCCTTGAAACAGAGATTTGGAAACAACATTTCTAAACACAAACAACATTTAGTTCCATTCATATCGAGGTGAAGAATACCGCATTGTGATGTAGTGGTGTCCCACATGTTACATCTACAACCATTATTTTTGTTGTTATTGTTGGAAATAACAATTTTAGCATTCTTTAAAAGTATATAAGTATGGATATTATTTAAATGAAGCTATTTGATGATAAACTCAAGTTTGGTGTGAATTTGAAGCATTTGAAGTATTATGAACAAAACAAGGTTTGGATGTAACAGGACGGTAGCCTCTGGTTACATCCACAACTTCTCCATAGTCATTACATGTAAATACATATTGTGTACAAATTTACCAACTTTCCAAAATCATGTGACTTAAACCACAAATGTATGGGCTATCAAAAAATGCATAATCCAAACTTGTACAAGTAATTTGAAAATTTGACCCCAATGTCACACTTTGTATCTCAACTTTGTGGAATGACCCATATACAAATATGAACAAAATATAAAATCTTAAAAACATTATTTTCAAGAAAAGTCAGTATTTTGTGGTTGGAATAATCCCAAACAACTCTTTTAAATGTCTGACATAAGTACAATAATATTCAGGCAGCCTAAAAAACAAAATATAACACAAACATTCTTCAAAAAAAATATTTACAAAAAAGTCACTAATTGGTGGTTGGAATAATTCCAAAACTACTCAGGGTAATACAGTTTTGGAACCGTTATACAGGCACAATTAATTAGCCACCTGGGCCAATGAGTCTCCAAAAATAAAATATTATTTACAAAATATACATGTGTGTTTTCTATCTTGGAATAATCACATAACTTCTCACTGTTTGAATTTCTTATTGTTTCAATGTGATACATAAAGACAACTGTTGTCAGGCCAACAAGTCTCAACTTGGAAATGGACCAAACCACCCATACAGCCTCCGAAATCAACAAATACCATATATCCACTGGGTTTTCAAATTAGTGATGTTTCCATGCACACACGAAGAGATTTGAGGTCTACAGTAATTTTGTTTGTCACTTCAAAAAGTTTCCAGATGTGGAATCTACACTTATTCACAAATGTGGAGATTGTGGTATACCAGGGATCTTATTTGCATAAACTGCCGTTGTTTTAAGAAATAGTTTAAGTCGGAGAATAGACTTGGAACTGTAGATTTGTGCAAGATTCGCCCCGTCCATTCTTAGCACGAATCTACAGTTCCTTGTCCATTCTTATTGACCCAATCAGCAAATCATAGACACTCTAAAAAGTCTCGGGTCAGATTCGACCCAAATCTGGGTCAGATTTGACCTGACACTTTTCAGGGTCAAAATAACACTTCTCTTGAGTCACTTATTTGACCAAGAAAATTAATTTTAACCCAGAAGGGGGTCAGGTCCAATCTGACCGGGATGCAGGGTTATATCTGACCCCGGACTTTAAGAGTGTCAGGTCCAATCTGACCCGGATGCAGTGTTATATCTTACCTAGGACTTTAAGAAATTAAGAGTGTCAGGTCCAATCTGACCCGGATGCAGGGTTATTTTCGACCTGGGACTTTAAGAGTGTCAGTTTGACTTTGATGACAAACTACAGTGTCATGTGTAGAAGGTGAACAGCTAATTGTTTTAATTGCAAGCAGACATCCTGGAAAGACACATTTTTAATTGTCTGTTTTCGAAGTGTGGGGGAGGGGGGTGATTTAAGTCCCCACTTTTATACTTTTTTATGGTGAATAGATTATTGTCTTATATTACAAAGTTTTACCTTAGAAAATGGTCCTGCTTAGGATTGAAACATTAGACCCTTTGATTTTGTTGATTTTCTTGTAAAATTTCATTTCCTTTTATTGAGAATGTTATCATTTTGATATTGTTATGCCTAGTACATGTAATTCTAGAGTGGGCTTGGCAAGGGAGAATTAAAATATAACCCTAAGTGATGGGAAGAGGGAGTGTAACTTATCCCGTCTACCCAATGCCTTGTTGTAAAACAGGTACAACTCAGTCAGTCTGTGCATGTTACCTACAGCCGAGGCAATGTGTGGAATGTCTGACTGTGTCAAATCACAATTGCCCAGGTGCAGCTTATTTAAGCGCTTCATTTTGGGCAAATCCTTGGCCCACAACACAGCACATTCACCCAATGAACAGTTGCCACAAAGATTCAACTCAGTCAGTCTGGGCATGTTACCTACAGCCGAGGCAATGTGTGGAATGTCTGACTGTGTCAAATGGCAATAGCCCAGGTCCAGCTGATTTAAGTGCGTCATTTTCGGCAATTCCTTGGCCCACAAGTCAGCCGATTCACCCAATGTCTTGTTGAGGCTAAGGCTCAAGTCAGTAAGTTTGGGCATGTCATGTACAGCTGAGGCAATGTGTGCAATGTCTGTGCTCTGAAGTTTGCAACCACTCACTGCAAGTTTCTTAAGGCTTGCCAAGTGTTTGATATGAGGGGCCCATTCTACAGCTCCCAATGTATTGCAATTGTCTATGTCAAGACTGGTTAAGAGATAGTTGCATTTCAGTGATGACAGGATTTTCTCAAGCTCACCCTTCACTAAAGGACAACTCCAGAGCATCACATGACTGAGGTTTTTCATGTAACCCACGGCAAAGGCTAAACCACTGACTGAAGACACCTCAGAGACCTTCAAGGTTTCAATGCGTGACAGTTGTGGCACCTGGACTTCTGACCTACAGATTATTTTAAGAAGGTACCTGAGAATGCGGACATCAGTATTGTTATTCACCTTGATATTTGATGGGATGAGTGAGTCGCTGGTTAGACATTGTGGGATCTTTTTGGATTGGCTTTCAAAAAAACAGTGTCGACTAATTAATTGTATAACGTATGATTGGTACCTGGGCTTATGTCGATCCTTGTTGAATTTACGGTCAAGCAATCTAACAATGTCAGTCATGCACTTTTCATTGTCACCACAACAAAAACGCAAAAGGAAATCATTTGAAACAACACCCTCAATTGTCTGACATAGTTGCCTTAAATTGTTTTGAAATTCTCCAAATGGAACAACTTTGTACACCATATGCTTTACAAATCCCGGGTTTGACATATGTACACTTTGCAAGTATTTACCAGCACAGTATTCCTGAATAGTCGTGTGCATGAATTGTATGTTGTTTTGACATTTGAGGTTTTTGATAACTCTCTGCTGGGTTAGGATGCCTGCTTTCAGTGCCAGGTCCAGCGCATTTTGTTCAAACTCATCTTTTTGAAATGAGAAATTCTGGTCGGCACTTACGAATCCACTCAGTGCAGTTTTTCCTATAGCAATCACTGTTTTTGATGCATCTTCGGAGCTATATCCTTTTCTTGTGAACATGTAATCAACTGCCTCAGTGAAGAGGCGTGAAGTTGTTTCGGGGAGTTGTTTTTTCTCCCTCCACAACAAACACATGAGAAGGAGAAGCATTGGATTCGTGTAGAAATCGAGCAGCGTGTTGGATTTTTCAATGTTTTGGATCAGTGCACTGCCACTATCAGGATCTTCGCAATAGAATTTCAGAATGTATTCATTAACATCCTCTTTGGTAAACCCCAGAACCTCTACGTGTGTGCAAGGATTTCGGACAAGTGATTTTGACATCAGTGTCTCAAGATGAGAGGGGCGCGTTGACACAATAATGAAACAATCCCTGTATTCTGTTCTACTAAGCGCTTTTAGGATAGACCCGAATGAGGCTGCATCAAGTGTTTTGGTCCTCATTTCATCAAAACCATCCAAAAGTATCAAGACCTTATTTGAGTTGTCCTGAATGAATTTATCAAGTTCAACTTTGGCTACTCCTGACTTTACGCCTAAAAGTTGATCAAAAATGGAATCAACAAGATCGGATTCTTGAAACAGGGCATACATTTTTAAAAGAAAGACAAGCTTGAATCTTTTCAGGATTTCACATGCCTCATCAGCCCAGTCATATGCAATCTTGTCAAAAATGGTTGACTTCCCCACACCACCAATGCCAAATAAAATAGCACGATTGAACTCAGTTTCAGGCCAATCTTTAAATATTTTGTCATACTCTGTGGAATATACAGTTTCCTCAGAGTATTCTTCTTCTGCAGTACCTTTCTTTGTTCTAACCCGCAATTTAGTGTAAATGCCAACAATGGGTCTTTGATCATCGGGAACCCCAGGGTTCAACTGAACATAGCTACCCGTTGTCTTGTAACATTTCCTTAAAAGGTCCCTGGCCTTGTTACCGACTTCTTGGTTGAGATCCCCCACTCTCGATACTTGGTCTGGTTTCTGACTCTGTGGATTTACTCCTGTTGAGGTCAAACAAGCAACAAGTACATGTTATAGTAAGCAGGAGGTCATGGGTTCGAGTCCCACCAAAGTGATTTTTTCTCATGAACACTCGAGACAACACTCAGTATTGTGGAATCCAGTGATCAGAATCAGCTTTTACTGCGGTGGTGTCACGCTCACGCGCATGCTGCTCGCGTTCTTAAAGACGAGGCGCGCGCATTTTGGTATTCCTGTTGGTGGAAGGAGCCCGAAGTGTGGGTATACATACCTGAGCGCAACTCGCGCGAGCCTTTTTCGACACTGCAGTAAATGGCTGCCCCCAGATTTGTCTATACAGTGTTTATACAATACATGTATGTCGGTGGAGGGCAAAACCCTATATTGAATGTACATGTATTATTTCAGTTTAACATTGTTTCTGAAATGATTGAATAGTCTTCCTCTACTGAGGCAAACATATAAAAGAAATGGTGACTTGAGATTTACAGTTCGTTAGTAAGGCAGTGTAAAAAATAAATTTGCCCCCCCCCCAAAAAAAATAATCAAATGAATATTTTGGCTTTTGTACCATCTGTTGGACACAAACTTGTCAGATGTCGTTTCATAGTATTTACACATTGGTTTTTTTTACACTGACAACAATAAATTCAGACAAAAAACTGGTAACTGCATTTGGAGGCCTCCAAAACTTGATTCCATTTTTCCCCCCCACTTTTTTTTCTTCCCAATGTGACACACACAATACGGGGTGCCATTTGGTGTGGGTATATAAAGAACACATTACAAGACTCCTAATGTTGTCACCATATCTTATTACAAACTGGTTTATATCGTAGCAACAAAAAATGTAGACTCTTTCGTGGAATTGGCAATCCGTCTTTTGTGTCCATGTTTGTGTAGTCTATCATCTCCATCCCCCTCCCCTACAAAATATACAATAATATCTGATAATATAGATATCAAGTAGTGTAACAAACAAGATCATATTTACCTGCTCCATCTGACGACAAGTTGTAAGTGACAGTAACTTCACCTGAACCAGTAATGATAGGATTGTTTCTACCGCTGACTGTGCCCATGTTTCCGATGGCTCCAGTTTGTTTTGGGGAATCTAAAATCAGAAGAATTCAAACATCCTTTAAAGGATACCGACAAAATGATTCATGTACTTTAGTACATCTCCAGTTGTCCGTTTTTGGAAGGTAGAGACTTCTCTACACATGTAGATCATTTGTCAGGCCAAACAAAAAAATGGTGTGTTTACGGTAACGGCCTGAAAAAAATCCAGGTAGGTAGGTAGGGAAACAATTTTATTTTGTATTTTTTTTTTTCATTTCAGTTCTGCATGCCCATGTGTGTTCTTTCGCAAAAAAAAATGTATAAAAAAATTATTCAATTATTCAAGCATTCAAGATATTCAATCAATACACTTCATTCCAAATTATAAATTTGTACCGTCCCAGGGTTCTCCCCAGGATTTTTGCAACCTGTGGGGAAGTTCTGCTGCGATTCAACAACCTGCGAAGCCATGGCCTGGGGTTTTGAACTTTGGAAGCTCTCTGGTGCATTTTAGAGCAAATCTGGGGGTCTTTAACTTAAGATTTCTCCTTAAAATTCAGAGGAGATCCTGTAGGCCCCTAATATTTTTGTAATTAAAGAAAAAATCAAAATTGTTAACTTAAAAAAAATCAACATTTCACAACCTGTGTTTAGCTTCCTGAACTAGAAAAGTATGGATTACATTTACAAGTAAGTTTCAAATTAAGAAATTAAGGTGAAGAAAAAAAACACTTTTGCTTCCGATTACATGCCTTTCAAAATAGCGTCGGTAGGTCGGAAAATTTATTTCACCACTTTTTTTGGGGGGGGGATGCTGATTATGGAGAATCATGATAGTATTAGTATAGAGCAAGGAATCATGTTTATTTTGTGCCTGGCCAGCAAAATTGATTAAAACTTGCCTCACCTAATTAAAAACAATTTGAGGTGGGTGATTCGGCGTAAACACACCATTTTTTTGTTTGGCCTCATATTTGCATTTGTTTCTTTTGAAGCAACAACAGTCCTCAAAATCTAAAGATGGGTGCTCAACAACTAACCTGCTGAACTTTCAGCTCAGTGAATGCTGTTTATTCCGAGAAAATCATTTTTCAGGATCTCGATTTCAAATCAAAGTTGCAGAACCTTGTTTTGAATTGATTGCAGCCGATTGCAACGACGCTATGTCACGCACTGACCAAACAAGTAATAGCAACCACGCACGCATGTGCATCATGTCAATGCTCACGCGCACCCATTCACGGATTCACCCAATTACAAACCAACTACTAATGGAAATTTCCAAAAATTGTTCAATTCACAATCTTTGGTAATGACTTCTTTTAATGTCTTCTTTGTCCAATTACTATCTTTAAACCAAAGTAAGCTTTCAAAAATAATTTGGTCAGTTACTTTTTGGATAGCTGCAAATGATCTACTCTACCTTTAAAGAAGATACATGTATATAGAGAAATCTGATTGTCCAAAGTTGAAACCTGCAACTTCAAAAAAATCTTGGGGAGTGTGTGAATGTGTGAGTTGAGTGGAGAGGGGGAGTTAATGCCCCTCCCTCCCTCATTGACCCCATGCAAATGGTCTAGCTACTAAATGTACTCACCTGTTGCAGCTGAGGGGGTGGGTACCTGTGCCTCCTGTTGCATCGTGGTAGGGACAGCAGTCTGGCAGGCTGCTTCAGATTGAGCAGCCATGGTACTTTGGATCACCCAGCCACAAATGGAGGTCCTGTTTGTCAATGATAAATGAAAAGCTGTAACACACTGGTCTTCATTCCAGCTTCAATCTCATTCTTTAGCATGAAAACTTGTACCTACAATGCCATTTATGTTTGGAATAAAGACTAGAAATTCCACGCGGAAGTGATCTTTAGAGCTACATGAATCACAAGCTCAAATGTGGTATGAAATTAAAGGAAACAACAAGACCTTTTATTTTAATGGTGTGCCAGTGAGTTGGAATTGGAAAGTTAGAAACTGCACCAGAATAATTCACAGTTGACTATCAGTCAGTGCAGCTATTTGTAACCTGAGATCACTGTATATGGTTCACTCTTCATCCGGGATCAGTTCGCTTTGCCTTTGTGACATCCGTGGCATGTTGATTTGTTTTTTGTTCAACATGATTTATTGCACACACATCCGTGTTTCAGTCTCGGTACCATGTGGTACCACGGATACAAGAAAGTCATAGCCGAAAGTTCAACAGGTTACCAAACTACTAGCCTTTCCAATGGTTCAAGGGACTTGCTATTTGTAACCTGAGATCACTGTATATGCTTCACTCTTCATCCGGGATCAGTTCGCTTTGCCTTTGTGACATCCGTGGCATGTTGATTTGTTTTTTGTTCAACATGATTTATTGCACACACATCCGTGTTTCAGTCTCGGTACCATGTGGTACCACGGATACAAGAAAGTCATAGCCGAAAGTTCAACAGGTTACCAAACTACTAGCCTTTCCAATGGTCCAAGGGACTTGCTATTTGTAACATGAGATCACTGTATATGCTTCACTCTTCATCCGGGATCAGTTCGCTTTGCCTTTGTGACATCCGTGGCATGTTGATTTGTTTTTGTTCAACATTTTATTGCACGCACATCCGCCGCTTTTCAGTCTCGGTACCGTGTGGTACCATCGATACAAGAAGTTCACTAGCTGAAAGTTCAACAGGTTACCAAACCACTAGACTTTCCAATGGTTCATAGGACTTGCTATTTGTAACCTGAGATCACTGTATATGGTTCACTCTTAATTTTGCTTAATTTTGTATGCTTGTAATAAATCAAGGAACCATAATTTGAAAACAAAAACAGATTCTCACTTAGAAAATTGAGTAAATATACACCAACTTTTGTTTCACGAAACTCGAACAATTCATCGAAATAAGAGTGTCGTAAGATTATTATACAACATTTTTAAGCCGAATCGCTTAGAAATTAAACAATAAGCGATAATTTAGCCTGAATGTGCTCATTAAATGTGCTCTGAACACTCAACGATACTTTCCTCACTTTTAATGTAACTTATCCAGCAAAAAAAAGTTTTACAGAAATTAGGGTGCGAAACCTTAGATCACTTTTTTTGCTATGTGTAACTAGGTTTTACCTTTCATGTGCATGCGCGCTAACTTCATGGCCACCGTGAACACACGTTGGCACACCCAGACTTGTTTCACATACCTAGTGTGGACTTTCCTTTCTTTTCGTGTAGTTAAGGAAAACCAGTGGAAAAACTCATTTTTCTCAAACTGTGAAAACTCTTACAACCCAATTTTTTTTCAATGATTCCCTTTAGTGTTTCTCTTCATTCTGCTACAGATAAACCTAACCCAAAAATGCCTCTAAACCTGTTTTCCAGAAATGGGGAAACACTGTGTGGACGTGGGCAAGTCCACACTTCGTCGCTGCTACCTACATTATGTGGACGTCTTTTGTTCGGAAGTCCACACTGCGTATGTAAGACAAGCTCACCATCACATGTTGCTTTCCTAGCCTGTCAAACTCAGGCCAGTATTGCATGTTAATTCATACTGGCTATACACCCAACAAATCTTATCCTTATTCAGTACAACGCGAAGATGTATCTACCTACCGCTGATGCATTCTAGATTTAGTCGGGCTTGCTTTAATGCAGTCCTTATCAGCTATCACTTCAATTTTTTTTTCTTAAAAGCTCATAATTCTAATTTATTTCAAAAGTGTTAAACCCTAAGATTAATATTGTCCTTCTGTTTAACTTTTACTTTTCACCTTTTGACCACCATCACTTTCACGTCTTTTGTTCGGAAGTCCACACTGCGTATGTAAGACAAGCTCACCATCACATGTTGCTTTCCTAGCCTGTCAAACTCAGGCCAGTATTGCATGTTAATTCATACTGGCTATACACCCAACAAATCTTATCCTTATTCAGTACAATGCGAAGATGTATCTACCTACCGCTGATGCATTCTAGATTTAGTCGGGCTTGCTTTAATGCAGTCCTTATCAGCTATCACTTCAATTTTTTTTTCTTAAAAGCTCATAATTCTAATTTATTTCAAAAGTGTTAAACCCTAAGATTAATATTGTCCTTCTGTTTAACTTTTACTTTTCACCTTTTGACCACCATCACTTTCTATCATGTGACCCTTCCTTCCGGTTAAAACCGGAAGTACCTTAGTTTTTAAAATTGGCAGAAAATACGAACTTGCTTTCAAACATGTGAGTGTCTGCCTAGGCTGTACTTCAGAAATATATTACAGGTGACGTCATCAAATGTCAGAGCGTCCTCTAGCAGCAGGTTAAAAAACATCAAAAACGCATTTTCACTTGATGTCTGTGGCGAAGTTTGCGGTATTCACTTCAAAATTAATGTACATGATGACCTTAAAGCAGACAAGACATATGCGCGAAAAAAAATGATTACGTCATCAGATCGGAAGTTACAATAAAAAGACCTTTAAACCTTCAAAAATCAACCGTGACAGATATAATCCAGATTGGGCTATAGCACAGTTGAAATAGCTCTTGAAATTTCTGGTAATAACATCACAATGACGTCATCAAGTATCATATTGCAAGCAATCAAAGATTTCTAGATTTAATCTTTGAAAATCAATATAAAATCAAATGCTACAGATTTGATTTTGTTTCTTATGGCAATCGATACAATATTGCAGGGTCTTCATTTTTGGTATTAAGTGCAAAATCACTTTATCCTTCCTTCCGGCCCAAACCGGAAGTGCCTTATTATTTGAAATTGGCAGAAGATGCGAACTTGCTTTCAACGATGTGAGTGTCTGCCTAGGCAGTACTGTACAAAAAATTTACAGGTGACGTTATCAAATGTTAGAGCGCCCTCTGGCGGCATGTTGAAAAAGTCAAACATGGATTTAAACATGCATATTTTGAGTTGATGTGTGTGGCATGACGTGAACACTCGTCCTAAGACCAACCCGACCAACCATATAGGCAACTCCGGTTGGAACACACCATTTTGGAGAGCCTAGCTGCCCTAAGAGATTAAGATATTTATAAGCACTTATCTTATAATTGATTCCTAATAGGAGTGAAGGTCACTCTGCCTGAGAGATTTCAAGCATAATATTTGGTTGCTAAATTTAATCTGTCGGCCAACAAAAGTATTATATTAATGATGTACCTGAAATGTTAACTTGTTTTATATGGTGAAATGTGAAAATCCGTGAATAAATGGCTGAGAACGATCTGTTACTGTTATGCTAGCATAAAACCACATTTCATTAGAGAGTATAGTTCCAGAAAGCTGTGTGGCTAACAGGTGGTATTTCATTTAACCCCAAGTCATTATCTCGCTGGGACTGTGGAGCAGGGAGTGGAGTTTGGTTTACATAAGGGCTCCCCAGGGGCTACCAACAGAGGTCCAAAATGGTGTGTGAAACTAGCAAAATAGGTTTAAAGGACTTTTTATTGTAACTTCCGGTCTGATGACCTACTCTTTTTTTTTTCGCGTACAGCCGTTGTCTGCATTAAAGTTATCATGAACATTAATTTTGAAGCGAATACCGCAAACTTCGCCACAGACATCAAGTGAAAATGAGTTTTTGATGTTTTTTAACCTGCCGCTAGAGGGCGCTCCAACTCTTCATGGCGTCACCCATTATTTTTTTGGAAAGGTCAATCCAGTCAGACCCCAATATCGTTGAAAGCAAGTTCATATCTTTTTCCACTTTCAAATTATTAGGCACTTCCGGTTTCGACCGAAGGAAGGGTCACGGATTTTACGCGCACAAGATTCATGTCGATTCCCGCAAAATTCAAGTTCCGGTCTCTCGAGGTTGATTTTATATTGAATTTCAAAGAATAAATTTATTATTTTTTGAAGTGACGTCATGTGACCCATGATGATGTCATGTTGACGTTATTGCAAAAAAGAACATCTTCAGTGGGTTGTGCATTCATGAATTGACAAATGAAGTTCTTATATGTTTCCATTTTTCCAAACACAACCAATCAAAGTGATCTTACTCAGCTGATAGTAGAGTCAATTATCAGTTCAGTTTGTGGCCTCAAACTACCACAGTTCTCCCAAAATGAAGTCTTTCCGATCAATGACAGCCGTCACGCGTCATGTCGCTTTTCACTTACGTGTTCGTTACTTGGTTACTGAAAGAACGCCCTCCATCGGCACTTGCAACGAATGTAAACAAACGTTCATTCATAAATGTTTCTGTCCGGAACAAACGTTTCAAGACGTATACGGCGTCGTCAACTTCACATTTCAAGGGGGCTGCATGACATCTAAAAGTTCACTTATTGGCACGAAACATGAGGAAGTTTTAGACCTATTTCTAATCTGCCATTTAACCAACAAAAAGAGATTAAATCCCTCAGGGTTGATTTTCCAGGAATGTTCAAAGGAAAAAAGGTCTTTTCCTTTTAAATTCCGGTCTGATGACGTAATCAATTTTTTTTGCGCATACAGGTCTTGTCTGCATTAAGGTCATCATGTATATTCATTTTGAGGCAATTACCACAAAATTCGTCATAGACATCCACTTAAAAATTCGTTTTGGACATTTTTTTAACCTGCCGCTACAGGGAGCTCGAACTGTTCTTGGCGTCACCGATCACGTTTTTTTTAAATGTCAACCATCCACACACTAACATCATTAAAAGCAAGTTCATATCTTTTTCCCTTTTAAAATTATTAGGCATTGTAACTTCCGGTCTGATGACGTAATCATTTTTTTTTTACGCACAGGTGTTGCCTGTATTAAGGTCATTATTTATATGAATTTTTTGGCGATTACCGCATATTTCGCAACAGACATCAACTGAAAATGCGTTTTTGACATTTTTTTAACCGGCCGCTAGAGGGCGCTCAAACAATTCATGACGTCACCGATCTTTTTTTTTGAAAGGTCAATCCAGGCAGACTCTAACATCGTTAAAAGCAAGTTCATATCTTTTCCCACTTTTAAATTATTTGGCACTTCCGGTTTCGACCGGAAGGAAGGGTCACGTAATTTGACGCACACAAGATAAAATGAAGATCATATATTATCATGTCGATTCCCGCAAAATTCAAGTTCCGGTCTCTCACTGTTGATTTTATATTGAATTTCAAAGAATAAATTTATTATTTTTTGAAGTGACGTCACGTGACCCATGATGACGTCATGATGACGTAATTGCATGTATTGACAATTGAAGTTCATATATGTTTTCATGTTAACAAACAGTTCTGGAGAAGAAATGTGTCTTGAAGAATAAAAAGAACTAGAGTTTGAGGACAAACACACGGTGTTGGGCTAGAGGTTTGGCTTTTTCACATTGTTGATTGTTGATTGATGTTGGTTGTTGTTCTTGATTGTTAATGTTGATTGTTGATGTTGATGTTGATTGTTGATGTTGCTGTTGATTGTTGATGTTGATGTTGATTGTTGATGTCGCTTTTGATTGTTGATGTTGATGTTGATTGTTGATATTGATTGTTGATGTTAATGTTGATTGTTGATTGTTGATGTTGATGTTGAGGGTTGAAAAGTAGCGCTTGGAGTAATTATACAGAGGATAGTTAAAAAGAGTCAGGTGAGGATCTGCACGCGCGTATGCTGCTGTACTGTAAACTTATCTAGTACAATTGTTACAAAAACCCATTAAATAGCTCATATCTCTAAAGATATTGCTCGCCATACCCTCTTTACCCCAATGCGCATGTTTTTAGAAAAAGCGCCCAATTAAAAAAAGCGCCCAATTGGGCGCTTTTGCCAGCCCAATTTTTGAGTATCATATGAAGTTCCCTTTTACGCAATCGCAGCACACTGTTTTTCAGGATTTTCCCTTTGTACGCAATTATCCCCATTTGCTGTACACACAATGTACGTGGCATTAAATGAGCGTTTCAATGCGTAGGCGTGTTCAACTTCAAACTTCAAGGGGGCTGCAGGGCATCTTCTAGTAAATTTATTGTAACGAAACCTTGGGAAGTTTTAAACCAATTATTAAAGTGCCATTTGAAGCACAAAACTGGATTATATCTCTGACGGTTGATTTTTTAGCAATTTTCAAAGGAAAAAAGATCTTTTCATTGTAACTTCCGGTCTGATGACGTAATTATTTTTTTTTCGCGCACAGGTCTTTTCTGCATTAAGGTCATTATGTATATTAATTTTGAAGCAATTACCGCAAATTTCGCCACAGACATCAACTGAAAATGCGTTTTGGACATTTTTTAACCTGCCGCTAGAGGGCGCTCGACACACTTGATGGTGTCACCGATCAAAAGATGAAAGCAAGTTCATATCTTTTTCCACTTTTGAATTATTAGGCACTTCGGGTTTCGACCGGAAGGAAGGGTCATGTGATTTTACGCTCACAAGAGTAATTGAAGAGCATATAATTATCATGTCGATTCCCGCAAAATTCAAGTTCCGGTCTCTCACGGTCTCAAAGATTAAATTTATTATTTTTTGAAGTGACTTCACGTGACCCATGATGACGTCATAATGACGTAATTGCAAAAAAGCACATGTTCAGTGGGTTGTGCATTCATGTATTGACAATTGAAGTTCATATGTTTTCATTTTAACAGACAGTTCTGGAGAAGAATATGCTGAGAACATTAATAATAGTAAATTCATACAATAACAATAGGTGTTGGGCTGAGGACCTAATTATGTGGCTACAGCTAGTCACCATTATGCGTATAATCGATCATGCGCAAACGCACGAGGTTTCTGCCAAAGCTAGCCGTAGCCAATTCAACGTAGTAGTCAGATTATGTACGTCAGCGCAGCCGGTGCAAGGGTCGCCAGAACGATGGAACATTAACGGCGGTTATTCTTGGGGGATTTGGATTTCGTTAGGTAACAACTGCAAGTGCATTTTTATATTGGTCTCTTGTTGGTCTCGGCCCAGACAGGGCTCTGGAGTGCTCTGAAATGTGCAAAACTAAATCAGGCCCACTTTACTCACAGTTTAGCCAGCAAATTTCTCCAAAAATTCCACTGGGGCAAAGAAAATGGAGCTGGCGCCCCAGTTAGTGGGACTAGGCCACATTAGTTTAAGTTACGAAGTGGCTTTCGTTACAGCAGCCGTTGTTTAGCGCCCTCTACGATACTTTTTTGATATGCACGCAGGTATAAAATTATTTGTTTCCCCACGTTTTAGCGAGCAGTGCAACAGCTCAGTCGATAGGCCTAGAGGGTAGGATGTTGCACCGCGAGGTTGCGGGTTTGCATCTTAGTTTTGCACTCGAATGTTTTGCACTCGAGGCTTTGGAGGATAGCCATAGCCACTGCGTTTAATTTATGGACCGGGCTACGTAGAAGTAGGATCGCGTACATAGTTTTGAAGGGTCTACGGAAAAATTCGGCTACCCGATCACCACTTTTTTCAATTAATTTTCTAGTGCCAAAAGTTACATCTTTTACGGTTATTCCCTCCACTTTCCCTCCTCTACTCTCACCCGCTCCTTTCCTTAAATTCTATTTATCAATCAGTCACTTACTTCATCGAGATTCGAACCTCGGACGCTTGCTTGATACACGAGACTCTTAACCGCTAGGCCGCGCACGATCGCTGTTGCAATGATTAATCTTTGGACGTATTTAAAGTATCCATTGAAATAAACTAAATATTCATAAGAAAATAAATATTCATAATGACGTATTGCACTATCATTGGCCGGCTCATGCGACGTCATGGTTATCGATGTCATGCGTATAACGTACCGCTGTTCCAGACACTTCAATCAGTTTTGACCGGCTGCTTCAACTCAGATCTGCACTACATGTGCATGCAAAATTAGCTCTACTGAGTGGAGCGTTGAATTACGGGTACCCCTCCATACAAACGCTCCACCGATTTGCCATACTTTGGTGACACCGTCACAGTAGCATAGTCACAAACCCACGCGAGGACAGAAAGACCCCCAAAAACCGGTAAAGAGAATACACATGAGAGAGACAGTTACCCTGGATTGATCTACACATTCATGATATTCCATCAGACCCCTTATATTGTTCCCAAACAGCGAAAATTTTAGGGAAAAAACAGCAAAATAGTCGATCGAAGAAAAACAAGTCGCGCTTTATCAACGACTGTTTCGAGTAATGATACGTGCTCCGATCCGCGCCGTACGACAGTAAGGGCTTTGAACACACCCTTACCCAAGGAGCACGTATCATTACACGAAACAGTCGTTTTTATGTACAACTTTAATATTCGCTATAAAAGATAATTTTATTTATGCATTATTTTATATTATTCTAATACTTCATTCGATTTTATGTTATTACCTTCAGCAAAGTGTTAGTTCGAGGTAAGTCGAAATACCTCATAGTGTCTTCCTTTTCTACCATCGGGTGTTACAGGTGAGCAAAACAATAGTTTGTTATTCTTGACCCGCTTGTTTGAAAGTTAACTTTACAATCCTCGCGTGCCTCCCATACCTTTCATTGCTGATGCACATCTGGACTAATTATCGACATCAAACAGTCGTCTGGTGTAGTACATAAAACATGCAAAAATAATGGTGGCGGTGGAAGCGCACCCGACCATTGCTTGGCGCTGGTAAACAATGCGTGCTACTTAATGCAAAGTACCTGCATTGACCTGTGACATGTGTTTACACTCGACAGTCATTTTGAGTGTGCTTCAGTGCGAGTTGACAAAAACAGACCTCCAAAAAATAGCTGGAAAAACGTGAGTGGTCATGATTTTCATATCCATCTTTTCATCATTTGGTGCATTAAAGGTCTATTCTTCATACTGTATTAGTTATACTTCAGTATTTAATATATTATAAATCTTTTCTTATATGAAAAAAATATTGCCAGTTTTGCTATTGTATGTTTCCTAGCGTTATGCATAAAACATAACGCTAGGATCATCCTAGCCCCATAAATGTGGCCTATTTACTGGACTGCCTCCGTAAACATAGGCCACACATCCACATGTACAAAAATCGTGTCGACGGAGCCAAATTTTGATTTTCACATTTAGGCTTAGTTTGTAGGGTTTTTTTGCTTTAGAAGCATACTCACCCTCTTTATAGGCTAATCAGAAAGTGCTGCCTTTTTCAGATGTATATTTTTCGTGAAATTTCCAGATTCATTTTTACACGTTTGCGTATCAAAATTTCAACATGAAATTTCACAAAAATTAGACATCTGAAAAAGGCAGCACTTTCTGATTAGCCTGTAAAGAGGGTGAGTATGCTTCTAAAGCAAAAAAAACCTACAAACTAAGCCTAAATGTGAAAATCAAAATTTGGCTCCGTCGACACGATTTTTGTACATGTGGATGTGTGGCCTATGTTTACGGAGGCAGTCCAGTAAATAGGCCACATTTGGGGCTAGGATCATCCTAGCTATGTAGCATCATGCTCCCCCTCCCCCAATTCCCCCCCTCCCCCAATCCCCCCCCCCCCCAACCACCACCACCACAATGGACATGTGTACATGTATCATTTTTTGTTTGCTGGCTATGCTGCTGGCATGATTGCTGCAGGCGCTGCGTGCACTCGACTCCCCCTGTTCTGTTGATTATCAACATTAACTAAAGTAAACAACATTGGTATTCTTACTTTTTATAAAAGAATCGGTAGAAAGGTCGATAATTCGTCAGTTCAGTCGGACCGTACTAAAATCTGATTTTCATTCAATGATTATTCTTTAAGATTTACTTACGGGAATGTCCGAAAGAGCAGTTTCCTACCTCCAAAGTCCCATCAAGTTCAGGGTACTTCATGCATATATTATTGAGCACATGTCATGTATGTATTTTTGTTTTCACCATTGGCGCAAGAGGGCGCTGTTAATAAAAAAAACTGAGCGAAGGGCAGCAAACGTCACATAATGCTCAGCTAGGCTGTTAGCTGTCAAAAATAGCAGACAGCAGTTTAAAAGTTTTTGAAGGTTCAATTTTTTAGCTTTTTGGTTTTCTGTTACCAGAGATACAGGTCATGTTTTTCTGTAATGGCTGGGCAGACCAAAAGCGGACATCCGCTTTTCTTTTGTCAGAGCAGCAGAAAATTAGATCCAAACAAGATGGAATTTGCGTCGGGTGATATTTGATCCAAACAAGGCAATAATTGCCATCAAAGACACTGCAAAGCCACCGGTTCACACGAACAGCAATACGTACGCCAATTTATTCGTCCCCCGAACCACGAGTGGCTGGAATTTAAGAACTAAATTGGAAAACTTCAAGCCAACAATCAAAATCAATACTAGTCTCGTGGAGGAGGTTTTCTAGAGTAGGCCTACCCCCCCCCCCCTTAAATAAATCGAGGTTTTCATTATTTCAACCATGGAGGAAGGAATAGGTGAAATATATTTTCAGTTTCAGAAAACAGAAAGGCAGAAGACGGCACATTTAATTCGTATTGTGTAAGTTGGATCTTAACAGCCAAAAACATTCCGCAAACAAAACAAAATCATTTACATTATTGCTAAACAAATAGATTGACCTCGTTTAAAAGTAAGCCATAATTGTACAAAAAATAGCATACACCTAAACCAACAATGGGAGGGGGCGGGGCGGGGCGGGGCTGGACGGGATGATATATGGTATTAAAAAGGAGCGACAGTTCATTCAACAATAACACGTTAAAAGTGTTAATCTTTTGAGGTACAGAAAAGTCCCAAAGCTGTCGTGCTTATTTTTGGTTGCGTTAATTGGAGGTAATCAAGCTCGTTAGAGTTTCTTTGGTATAATGCAAGTGCAAGCAGTGAAAGACAATCTGATTGGACAGTGCTAGAATCCTTGCGCTTTGTTTTCTTATCACCAAATTTAGCATCCACCAATAAATAGGGGGTTCCAAATGTAAAAAAAATCGATGTGTTTCCATACTCTCATCATAAAACCAAACACGAAAAATATAGACTATAGCAAAACTCGCAGGGGGAAAAAAGACATTTTATCACGATTTGAAATGTACATTTGTGGAAATTCGCCCAAAACAAATTGCACTTAAACTTTAATTTAAACGAGAACTATTCCGAAAATATATTGTTTTCTTAATTCATCGTAGAATTTTAACAAAAAGGTTTCAACTACAGAAACTCTGTTTTTCTCACTGTCAGCTTCACGGTGATTATACCTCGGCCGCCAATGAACCCTTGGGGCGAAACGAGATGCATGTTATGTTTTCCTTTTTTGTTTGTTTAGGTACAAAGTATCATTTGCATTTATCCCAAAGTACTCTACCGAATTGTTATCTGTGGAGTACTGTGGCCTCGTGGTTAAGGGCACTGATTCGTGGTCTGCGGGTAAAGCTGCAGGTTGTGGGTTCGAGTCCTGGCGGGGTCATGGTGCGTGTGCCCTTGGGCAAGGCACTTTGTCACTCATTGCTTCTCTCCACCCAGGAGTAAATGGGTACCTGTGAGGGCAGAGATGGTTATTGTGATTGAATTAGCTTCCTTGCGCCTAACAGGCTGCATCGAGCTGTATACTCCCCAGGGAGCTGAGATGGTATTTGGAATATTTCATGTGCCCAATGAGCAGGGGTAATAATGATGTAGCGCCTTGAGCACCAGTCCTGGTGGATACGTGCGCTTTATAAATATCCACTATTATTATTATTATCAAAAAGCTTTATGGGCGTCAATCGGTGTGGGACAGGGTGTGGACACGTTGTGGGACAAGTCCCCCCCCCCCCCACTTTTTAAAGTGGGGCCGGGGATATCATCGTTCTCCCCTCCCCACATTTTTCGTCCCCGAATACAAATTGTATGTAGCCTGCATATGATTCTATAGCTCAGAACAGCTGATTCAATGATTCCAAACTCGAAAAGCATGTTTAAATGATGATTTTTTTTTTGCAAAAAAAAAGTTAAAGTGGTCAGATATTGCCTCAGATCGCACAACAGAGCATCTAGATTACCGGAAAATTTTCGGAGCCTTTAAGCTAAGGCGGGACCCAAGGGCTTCGCGCTTGCATTGGTTCTGATCAAGGTATGTCTTCCCCCCCCCCCCTCCATCCCACTTTCGAGGAGCGATTGACGCCCTTGACTTGGATTAAATATCGTACAGGTATTAAACAGCCCGGAGAAATCGAGAAATGCATGCGATTTCCAACGATCTATCCATTGACTGAGTTTGGGAATAAAGATCACAGGAGCAACGAAGATCACCCAAGACTGACCCCCTAAAAGCTGCCTTTACCATTTAATAAGTTTATTCAGTTACATCAACTGAATAAGTTTGTTTAGACCCTAACGGTCCTTTTTCAGGGCCAACACATTTTCCAAAAAACATTACATGTATAAGAATCCTCTGAAATCCCTCAGCTGCCTACATATTCTTTTTTCTCTCAAGGGTTTTTGACGTCTTTCTTCTCGTAAGGATTCCCTTCCACAATTTAGTGAAAGTTCTTTGGCAAATTATATTTTCCATCTTGTGCCAAGTATTGGTCTTCATGTGCCCCTTGGTCTGCTTGCGACTGCGCATGACACTATAACTTCAATAAAATAGGGGAAATTATAGATGTGATTATACTTCCAATTATTACTACTTCAGAGGTACAAGCATCAACATAAACAAAGATTATGACATAATCAATATTATTATTATTTATTCGACCCAAGCAACATAAAGTTACAAAATGAAATTAAAAAATAAAATATTTAGATACCTTTTTGGAATAAAAAATATTGCAGGATTAATTAAACAAAACCAGAAAACAAAACAAGCTTATTTATGAATAAAAATTAAAAACACAATATGCAATCAAATAAAGAACTCTTAAGAACAAACTCATTAGAAAGATACAATTAATTATTAATTAGTAATAATTGATAATTAATAAGACTGAAATGAAAGCACATTAGTAATTACTGGTTAAGATAAAAAAAAATCCTGAATGTACCACATTCGTATTTTAATATAGGTTTTCCCGGCTATTTTAAAACATTATTTACACAAATTCACCAACTTTATCATTCAATTTCGTCCGAGAAAAATTTCACACGCTTTTAACAAAACCAATGAAGTCATTTACCATTCAATTTCAAAGTTTGGTCACCCTCTTTGGTCACCGGGTCGAGAATATTCGTCATTACACATCAAATTCGTATAAGCTGTTGCCGAATGGCAGCATTCAGAGATCGAATTCGTCTCATATAAATCAATTAGACAAATTTGAATTCTGAATAACAAGGTTTGGCGTGGACGAGACGAAATCGAACGTGTGCTCTTGTTTGAATTTGTTTGAACTAAAGTTAAAATTGTCTGAAAAAAGACAAAATTAAACACTGGAAGTGCACTAAATCGATGTTGATTGACGAATTTGAATATTAGAAACGGTGAATTCGAATGATAAACATTTTAAAATAGCCCAGAAAACCTATAGACAAATTTGCCATTTTTTTAATAAGGTAAATATGAGATTCAAGTATAATTAATGTCTTCATTCAAATAAAAAGAAAAACCCAGACGTTTCCTCTATCTTATCAACTATTGCCACTGATTTTGAATAATGACCAATTTTAACATTTTAAGTGTAGATTGGCTAAAGAATGCCATGGTCCTGTGGTTACGGTGTTTGAACCCTGCCAGGAACATGGTGTTTGTGTCCTTGGGCAGGACACTTTACTACAATTGCCTCTCTCCACCCAGGAGTACAAATCAGTATACTGTGAGGGTAGAAGACCGAATGTGTGCTGATATATCAGCTGCCGTGTGGTCTCGTGGCCTGATGAACGGGGCGCTTTTAGATTGTTGATACGATGGATAGCACTATATAAGCATTACAATCTATCTATCTATGTACATGTCTGTCCAACTTGAAAAGATGGACAGTTTTAGCAGACTGGAAAAAGGCTGTGAAAAGAGTTTACAGAGAAACCAATGACAAGATTTAAAACACTCTACGGACCAGTACTAATAGACCTTATGCATTAGGGTGGAGTTAGAGGGCAATGGTTTGGTATTGCTTGGCTAGGCATGAGTCTATCTTTTGTGTATTCATAGTTACTAGATTAAAATAACAAAGAACAGCCTCTGAGATGCCTGTGATGCATGAGGTCTATTGTGTTGGACTTCAAGCAAAAGTCTGTTTTCTTGTGCTGCACGGTTGCACTATGTTAAGATTTGGGTTTCTCAGTACACAGTATTCGAGAGTGTAAAGTCACAGTAAAGTGGCTTGCTGAAGAGCACAAGCACCATGCAAACACTAGGCTGTGTTAAGAATACCAATCAGAAATTTGGCAACATTGTTAGCCTGCATATGGGCAAAGTGACGTGTCCATGTTTAAAGTCTCATTCAAAGCCCCTTTGACTATACATCACAGCTAGACTTCAATCTGCAATTGCTAACATTTCTCAGAACAAAATTTAACCTAAATTTTTATTCACACTTTCTTAAACAGGGAAAATTGTAAGTATAAAAAACTTCATTTTGAAGATTTACAGTCATTATTTTGTTCAAAGGCATTTTGGCAGGATGTAAGATGTACATAACACATAAAACACTGCTATCGTGTTTCAGTCAAATTACAAACCACATGATGGATTTTCTAAATTGTAACTGCTATACACTTTTGGAAAAGACTTTCAGAAACCTCATAAAATTGTGGGTTTTTTTAAACTTGTGTGACTTAAAATAAATCACATTTAAAATTTTCACATTTCATCTACAAGCCTTCATTTTGTGCAAGTTCACAATTCTACAATTTAAGTCTACAAAAAATTCTTGATTAACTTTTCTTTTTAACTTATAAAAAAGCAAACAATTGGAAGATTGCAACAATTGGATCTTACAGAAGATCACAACAATTGGATCTTATGGAAGATCGCAACAATTGGATCTTACAAAGGATTGAAACAATTGGATCTTATGGAAGATCGCAACAACAGGATCTTATGGAAGATCGCAACAACTGGATCTTACAAAAGATTGAAACAATTGGATCTTATGGAAGATCACAACAATATTGGATCTAATGGAAGTTTGCAACAACTGGATCTTAAGGAAGTTCGCAACAATTGGATCTTATGGAAGGTTGCAACAATTGGATCGTATGGAAGATTGCAACAACTGGATCTTATGGAAGATTGCAACAACTGGATCTTATGGAAAATCGAAACAATTGAATCTTATGTAAAAATATATTTCAAAAATCTGAGATGGTGACCATCCGAACCATGGAATGACCCAACTTCTCAAAAACCTCATCATGAGCATTTCATGTTTTTTGCACCTGATGACAAATTGGAAGAGACATTCATTAATGTTTTTGTGCCCCATTTACATTAATTTGGAATCTCTCCATAGCCACTTTGTTTTTGCTAATTTGTCTAAGAGAAAAATAGTGATGACATCTTCAAAATGAAGCTTTAGCATTACAGCATGAAAGTTTCATTTCTGATAATACGACAAAGGAAGACCATATGCCTTTGTTGTTAACATTCGCAAATGTCAGCAGAAAACAGTCTGTCCCACTTGAGCAAAAGCTGCTAACGTTGACAAACTTCAGCTATTGTTAACATATTACCCCTGGTCTTACTGCTTATAGGAAGAACAGCCGGTCAGCCAACTCAATCCGGGGCTCTTTGTGGAGGCTTTGGCCAACAAGGAAAGACAGCTTGTGAGCGTAGAGGCAGGGGGCCGGTACACGAATGGTTCCCTGCAAAACAACAGAAGAAACAGACAAGATGAGTACGGAACTAGACCACTGAACTCTATAATCACTGTACTGTCTTATGGCATGAGCATACTGAAGCAGCCGTCTGCCATCTTTGTTCCCTCATGACGTGTCTTATGACATTGCACATACTGAAGCAGCTGTCTGCCATCTTTGTTCCCTCATGACGTGTCTTATGACATTGCACATACTGAAGCAGCCGTCTGCCATCTTTGTTCCCTCATGACATGTCTTATGACATTGCACATACTGAAGCAGCTGTCTGCCATCTTTGTTCCCTCATGACGTGTCTTATGACATTGCACATACTGAAGCAACCGTCTGCCATCTTTGTTCCCTCATGACGTGTCTTATGACATTGCACATACTGAAGCAGCCGTCTGCCATCTGTGTTCCCTCATGACATGTCTTATGACATATTGCACATACTGAAGCAGCCGTCTGCCATCTTTGTTCCCTCATGGGATGTCTTATGACATGTGCATCCTGAAGCAGCAGTCTACCATCTTTGTTCCTTCATGACATATGTCTTATGACATGCACATACTGAAGCAGCCATCTGCCATCTTTGTTCCCTCATGACATGTCTTATGTCATTGCACATACTGAAGCAGCCGTGTGCCATCTTTGTTCCCTCATGACATGTCTTATTACATTGCACATACTGAAGCAGCAGTCTGCCATCCTTGTTCCCTCATGACATGTCTTATGACATGCACATACTGAAGCAGCAGTCTGCCATCTTTGTTCCTTCACGACATATGTCTTATGACATTGCACATACTGAAGCAGCCATCTGCCATCTTTGTTCCCTCACGACGTGTCTTACAACATTACACATACTGAAGCAGCTGTCTGCCATCTTTGTTCCCTCATGACGTGTCTTATGACATTGCGCATACTGAAGCAGCCATCTGCCATCTTTGTTCCCTCATGACATGTCTTATGACATTGCCCATACTGAAGCAGCTAGCCGTCTGCCATCTTTGTTCCCTCATGACATGTCTTATGACATTGCACATACTGAAGCAGCAATCTTTGCCAACTTTGTTCCATGAGGACCTCCGGTTTTCCTCCCTCCGCAAAAATCAACACTTTGGATCTCTGGCTGTGCTCCGTGGTCAGACATGGGTCATACGGCGGCAGCCCAAGGTGCCTTTACATGCCTTTGGCAAGACCACATTGTAGCTTCGTGCATTACAATTCGGGCGATTCACAATGCAGTGCGCCACCAAGAATTTGCCACGGAGAGTTCATTTTTCCCAGCACATTGTGGGAGATGGTGGACAAATTCGCAGCGCAGGATTTTAGAAATTGTTATTTTTTTGGGTCAGTGGTTTCATAAGCGTATGATCCGAGGCACTGTTTGTTATTCCTTTTCTTGTTATCAATTTAGTGTTTTTTGTAAGGCGGCAGAACGCGATGCCCCAATCTATGACATATTTGCTCAAGTTGTCTACTGACACTAATTCAAATGGGACATGTTTTGTCGACCGTAAACTTGAAAAATGGACTCTTGGTGGCAAACTCTTGGTGGCGCACTGCATTGTGAATTGCCCGAATTCAGCTCATGCTGCGAGTAAGGACGATTAGCCCCCCATATATACAGGATAGTTACAGTGCTTTGGAATGCCGTTCATAACTTGCCCCGCTCCTTACCGGCCAATTGAAGTAGAGATGGGTGAGCTTGTAGGTCAGGCTTTGCATGCTGTCTGGTGCCAGACCCGAGTTGTCCCAGATCACATTGTAACTGGTTGGAGTGACCGTACCCTGGCGTACAGACTGACTGACAAGGAAGAAGTCGTATCTGTGGACACAAAATGGAGACCAGTCAGAGTGATACATACAGTCAAAATAAATGTTAATAGTTTCAGTAGGCTTCAGTCTTCAATATCTATGTGATTGTTGGATTTAGCAGGGTCATAAAAATACTCGGAGCAGGGTTAGGGTTAATACAAATTTATCCTTTAGACTAATTCTAGTCTATAGGTTGGCTGAATGGACTTGACCATTTCTTTAAGGGGAAAGACAATGGTGAGACGTGCTTCAACCATTTTTGAAGGGGAGGATTACGCAACAGTGAAGTGTAGATATGGCCCGCTGCTCTACAGGCACTACACTCTACACCACCACGTTTGCAGGGTCTACCGGAGGCCAAGCAATTTGCCCGTTCCAAACAGGTACATTTTGGACGGGCACTGCACTAGTAACAAACTTATGATTTTCAGAAGTTATTATTTTTGGTTAGTTACAGTGTACAGGAATAATAATTTGTTTTCTATTTGATGTTTTTCCAGTGAGTTGTTTACTTACAAGTCTGGTTTGGTGACCACCGAGTCGATCACCGTTCCTGGGGATGGGTTGACGAGATTTCCTTGGTTCAAGGAGCAAAATCTATTGTTGATTCTCTTCTTAACGACGACCACAGCGCACTTAGGGCTGAACACAAACAATCAAAGACAACATCTATTGGCACAGTCTTGTCTATCATGACATGAGACACTAGTAAACGACACTTCTATGTCAAAAAGCAAAATGTAAAAGATTCAAAACGCGAATATAATATGAGGCAACAACACAGATAAACCATGTAACATATTCTGTTGGCAGAGTTGTATAGTCCTAATTTTGTGACTTGAGCTGAGTCCACTTATTTCAAAGTAGTGACTTGAGTTGAGTCTAGTAATTTTAAAAAAGTGACTTGAGTCTAGTCGAGTCATCAGGTTGAAAATTTCAAAATGAAACTTGAAACAAAGAACAATAATCTGAATTCTTTTAAGGTGTAGTCTACGTGGATCAAAAAGAATAGAAAACACAGAAAGTAAAAGACAACAAGATCGTCGCATCATGAACATGATGAACCATTTCCACATTAGAAAAAATGTGCATGATTGATTTTCCTTGAAATCAGTTAAATTTGTTTTTGATATGCCTTTATTTGAACACAAATTTCAAAACTTTTTTGAAAATCAAACCAATACTTACCAGGGATAAACTTAGGATTCCAAGCTTTAAAATGATATAAAAATAATGGCGGTACGTGTTTCCACAGTGACGCTAGAGCCTTGCAAAAATATGTTGCGGCATTTGGGGACGCGCTGTAGTTTAGTCCATCACAAACAATGTCACAAGCTATTCAAACGAACTCTACGAAAAACATTCCAATATCACTATTTATGCTGTTACCCATGACTGGACATGTGTGATGGACTGGTAACGGACTCAACTACGACACAGGGATAGAACTCAACCTACCTATAGTCTGTTCCTATCATCCTGAAGGTATCAATCACTTGCGGTAGTTCATACTCCACCACAGCCGGCAGTTGCCCATCACCGACGCCATCGCGATAAATGATGACTCTTTCGGGCAACTTACCGTTGATTTCTTTAAACTTCCTCAATGCGCCTAAACAAAAAAAAATATATACATGCAGGGAAATGACCAGCAGCGTAACCAAGGGAGGGCAGACTGGCAGATTGCAATAGACCTTTGTCATGCTGCCACTATTTCAGTCATGTTCCCTGTATCCAATAACAGTACTGAATGATAATGTTTTTGTGCAAAAAGGAACCAGACTACTTTTCCTTCTAGCCTCGCTTTGGTTGTGTTGATTTGAATGGGAAAAAAATCAAGATAACCGCAACGTGATAATGGTGTATAGCATGGAGATTCGAAAAGCAAAATTGGGACGCTGATAGAAGCAAAATCGGGACGGAAAACATTTCACACCCACTGTCCCTCCAAGCATGTGTGCTCCGTCAGATACTTACTTGTCATGCAGACTTTGAGACCATCAATGAGCTCCTGTCCTGTGTGCTGGAATGTACATCGTGAAAAGTACCTGTAAACACAATAACATGGCGAGCGACAAATATTTTAAAAGGTCCATAGGATCATTTTTGTGTGCAATTTTTTCCGTTTGAAGAACCCAAAAATTGCTTAAAATCTTAAAGAAAGGTGCATAACAACTAAACTCGTTGAAGCTTCAGCTCAGTGGATACTCTACATTTTGAGAAAACTGAGAAAATGTATGCACAATTTGTTGGGGTCTAGTTACTGGATTCACCTTGCACCTTCAAACACTTTTTTTCTTCAGAATGACACTATTTCATGCAGAATTATTTCACAGGGTAAAGATGCGTCATGTGATGCATTTTTGAAAGTTTCCGTTAGCAGTTGGTTTGTAATTCGGCAAATTTTGGATTGTATCAAGCTAATCCACAAGAAGTATGGAATTGGGATGCGATTCAGAAGACCTACTGTTGATATCTACTTTCTGCTAGCGACACTGTCCATGCTAAATGCTCCTCATATGTACAGCTGCAGTAACCACGAGGCTCAAGTTACTAAAGCTGTGCAGCCGAATTGGCTTACGACTGCATGAAAAGTAACACTGTGAAATAATGACCAAATAGTGTACTCACCTACTAAGGTCATGATTCATGGAAGCGACAAAGCCACCGACAGAGCGCCCTCTAGTGGCGGAGTCGTGATAAGAGTCGATTCCTACCACCATCATCAACATTTTGGACTGAAGGAAAATGGAAAGACAAATGGAGACAGAATGAGCTAAAGACGAAGCTATTTAACTTTTGTAGAACACCAATTCATTGTATTGCAAGCATGCATCAATACATGAATTCACTGGAACTTATGAATAAACTCAAAAACTGTAATAGGGTGCATGTAAAACTATCTGCACAAAGCAACGAACTTACAAAAAGTGAAACATTTACATAAAATGTAAAGGAATCTCCAGCTCTTTATTTGGCTGTGTAGATTGACAAATGTTCACAATAAGATAAAGATTTACGGTAGCACTACATGTATGTGACCAATCTCTTTTATGAGTTTGTCAGGTTCTGAAAAGAACCGGGAGAAACTCAACGTTTTGGACAGTATGCTCTGCCTGTCGTCAGGAGACAGAGCATACTACATGTATACATGATATCTTCACAACTCGGTTGCTAACAATGAAGCAGTTTCTCACAAATGGCCAACACGGATGAATTTGGGAGCACTTTTTAAAGTTGTTTTTGCAAGTTTCTACTTGAATTAATGGTCATGCATGTTTTAAAGGTTTCTCTGCAGCCCCTTTAAAAATTGGAACCTTTTTTTGTGACTCAGTTACAAAACCCTAGTATGTCCCAGAAATTAGACTGGTCACTGATTAATTTTTTATGCAACAATAGTAAGGCCGCAGTCTGGGAACCAGACACCAAATTTATCTACTGCACTTTAATTGTAATCACTCGAGTCTATGACTCGACTCGAGTCCGACTCAAGTCACAATTCTTGGTGACTCGACTTGACTCGAGTGCTTAAGGGCAAATGACTCAATCTCGACTCGAGTCACTGCAAGCAAATGACTCGACTCGACTCGAAGAAGGCTAATAAGACTCGAGTCCCAAAAATAAAAGCAAAAATTTGCGAAAAACATCTGCAATGACTTACGCCGGTGCTGGTTTTTGTTCACGTCACGTTTAATGTTCGCGAATATTGTATACATATACATACGTGGTTTGATCAGTGTCCCCATTAGTTGAATGATAATCAGCTGGCACCCCCTTTTTATTTTCATTAAGAGTCAAATGTGGTGTCGCCACATGCAGTAGCCCGAATGTAATATTTAAAAAGCCAAAAAATGACTTTCTCTTTTGTGTTTTTTTTTATTGTACAGTGCTCAAATATTTGTGACTCGAATTGACTCGAGCTAAATACTTGACTCGACTCGACTCCACACTGTGACTCGACTCGACTCGACCTTCTTGACCTAATGACTCGACTTGACTCAAGTCACTTCTTTAAAATGACTCGACTCGACTCGAGTCACTGTTATACACTGTATTTACTGCAAAGTGCTGAGGTGGTTTTGGGCGGTATAAGTAGTTAACAGGTAGGGTGCTTTGGGGCGGTACAGGGACTAACGGGTTAAGATGGCATTGACTCATGTCTAAGCCCGCCGTTAACAATGAAAACATTTGCCAACGTTAGCCAAAAATTTCTCATTTGGATACAAACATCACAACTGCCAACATTGATGTATTTGGGGAAAAAAACTTGTTTGGAATGTTGCATTTAAAAAATGTTAAAAAAGAAGAACAAGTGTACAGCTCATACATATTCATGAGATTGAATAGCATTGCACAACTTACTGGAATTAAAACTGTCCACAACTCTCCGCCCATCTTGCAGTTAATTTGCATAGCAATCTTGGTAGCTACGGACATGACGGTCTGTTTCTTGTTGATAGTGCGACCCACAATGCACTGGCTGGGTACCGGCGCCTCTAGACAGCAGAACTTCTTGATGGCGTCGTAGCGATCCTTACGAATAGTTGGTAGGATACACACAACCTGGGTAACGGTGGAACAAAAAAGTAAACAAAATTCTGAATACTACTGGTAAAAGTGCTTATTAGGCTTTGTGAAAATAAGGCAATGAGGCGACTGAGCATGCAAGTTCACTTCAAAAAACAGCTTCCGATGACATTTGATGGGAATACTAGCCTTGATCCTGACCAAGTCTGTCTACTTGTTCCCGTAGCAAGCGGCCGCTACATATTAGCCTAATTTGCGTACCCGTTGTACTGTACATGTGAATTGCCACAACACTGCGCCGTGCACAGTAGCCTCAACGATCCCCTTGCTTATCTGCACGCTTCATTACGCCCCACACACACATATCTAACTTTTCCCCAACAGTCGAGGCGAAAGACAGCCTTCACGCAAACTATATGCTCACTATGATAAGTAGTTCAGGCTATGGTAAACAGTCTTCTCTCAGGGAACAAGTAGACAGACTTGGTCAAGGCTATGGGAGTACAGGCTTTCAAGTCATAATTGAGAAGGCAGCCTTTAATCACACTCACCATCTGTGTCTGGGGACTCAAGTTCTGTCGGAGAGCACGAATGAAGCTTTCGGTTCGGTCATCACGTAACTCACATCTAAAGAACACCAACAAAAATAATGAGAGAGAGAAAAAGGATAGCAACAAATTCTGCACTTTAAAGCCCTTCAAGATTGGCAAAACCACTTTAGCCAATCGAGTTGGCATCCACACTCCAAAATATTTTGAGGCAATCTTCTGTGGAGTACAGAAACACTTCAAATCCCTGCACAATGTGTTGGTGTCGTTAAGCTCATGGCAAGCAGGCAGATTCAGTCATGCTTCACTGCTCTCCACAGAAAAGTTTTTGGCAACTTGAGACTCAGACTCGGACTCGACAAAATTGCTTCCAAACCTGGACTCAGACTCGACCCAATTGCTTCCAAACTTGGACTCAGACTCGTTCCAATTGCTTCCAAACTTGGACTCAGACTCGACCCATTTGTTTCCAAACCTGGACTCAGTCTTGACCCAACTGCTTCCAAACTTGGATTCAGACTCGACCAAACTGCTTTCAAACCTTGACTCAGACCTAGTTGCTTCCAGCTTGGACTCCAGACTCGACCCCATCACTTCAAAACTTGGACTCGGACTCGACCTAACTGCTTCCAAATTTGGACTCAGACTTGACCCAATTGCTTCCAAACTTGGACTCACAGACTCGACCCTATTGCTTCCAAACTTGGACTCAGACTCGACCCTATTGCTTCCAAATTTGGACTCTGACTCGACCCAATTGCCTCAACACCTGGAGTTGGACTCGACTCAAATAACTTGACTAACAATCTTGTAAGCAGCCTTACATTAAGGGTGGTCTGGTTTCAATTCCCAAACGTGGCGCCACTGTGTTGAAGGCGTTCAGGAATTCCATGGCATTCTTGCTATCACGCGCTGTGTAGATCAGCAGCCAGTTGTGCAGACCAATACAGCTCAGCAGATCCTTCCGCAGATCTCTGCTCCACTCTGCATTCTCACCCAAGGAAATCTCCTGTTGGTGTTTACAGGCATATAGGATTATTTTCTTTTCATGCATTTTGTTCAAAATTCCAGAGAAGAATGTCCAAAAGAAAAGTTTCTACCGAATTAATGTCAGTTAAACCTTGCTCAAAGTGAAGAAAGGACTGGTATCACATATCCTGAGAAATGATTCCACCTAAAATGATATCATTCAAAAGAAAAGTAACATTCATAAATACCTAAGACAGTTTACGCATTCCTATTGGTCGAGAGCCCGTCACGTGGCCGGTCTTAAACGGATGATAAAGACATGGCTAGCTGGTCTTAAACCAGTGTCACAATAAAATGTGGACTCCTAAAAATCCAGTGCCTCTTATCGTTTCATTGGTTGAACGTTCACAATCCTCACGTAGGCATGCGCAACACTACCAGGGAGTCAGAATTTTATAGTTCTAAATTCAAAACGCAACGCGCCAGGTGTGTTCTGCGCGGCATAAAAGGGTTGTTTACATCTTACTCGCCAGCTGAACACTCCATTATTTTGCAAGAGGGATGTTTCAAAAAGCATAAAGTCAATTTGTTGAACAAAATCGGGATGTTTTGAAAGAATTAAATGATTTTTTTTACCGAAAAGGTATTTATGAATGGGAATAAATATGTGCTCCATCGGTATTTATCACTCTGTTCAAGACCACTTAGAGTCTGGGTGCTGATAACAAAGTGTTTTCAAAATATAGTTATGGACACACACATATTTACGCGTGTTAGCAACTGAATTTGGTTACAAGATACAAAAACTTGCGCATACATTTTGTATTTTGTTTTCTCGAAATGTACAGGGTGAGTAAAAAACCCGAAACCCAAATGTCGGCACCATTGTTTTAGTGAAGTTCTGCATGTAGCACTTCCAAAATCTAAGATATGAAAAGGTTGTGTTTAAAATTCCGTAACTTCAAAAGTACATAAGTGATTTGAATGATTCTTGTACTCAAAGAAAGCTTATGAATTGGGCTTTCAAATGCTAGATGTTGGAAGTGCTACATGCAGAACTTCCCTAAAACAGATGTCCCGACATTTGGGGTTCACTTTTTTTTTTACCCACCCTGTATTTTATCCACTGAGCTGAAACTTCAACAGGTTAGTTTTAGGCACCCTTCTTTATTATGAACAATTGTGTTGCTCCAAAAAAGAGAAAAGAAATAGAACGTATCCAACAAACCTTTCTAGCCAAATGTCAAATTCACTCCGCATTCACAAAAAATACATGTAAATTGTAAACTGGTCTTCAGCTCAACGTCCCAATCTCTTTGTCAGACTCACATTCTTTCCCTGGTGACCGGTGAGGATTTTCTCCCGATCCATGATGCGAGCGTTGATCCTGACTGGCTGAGCTTCAAAGCTCACCTGCCACTTTTGCAGGTAAGTATTCGCCTCTTGATTCCTGAAAGAAGGTTAAGAGCACAGGTCACAAATCATTATTTTTCTAGGTCAGCCTGGGCCCGAATCAAATATTTTGTGATTGTGGCATTCAGTTTTGCCATTGACAAGCTATGTTTTCAATTACCAGCAAAGGTCCAGTCTAGGCACTGAGTATACAGTGTTTATACATCGGTGAAGGGCAAAACCTAATATTAAAAGTCCACTCTGTAAAGCATACACATTATTACGTTTCATATCACCAGTGTTGTGGTTGAGTCACTTCAGGGTCGAGTCCAAGTCAGAGTCCAAGTCAGAGTCTCAAGTCAATTGGGTCGCGTCTGAGTCCAAATCCAAGTCCAAACAACAAGTCATTTGATTCTAGTTCGAGTCTGAGTAACATTTATATGTTACATTAAAATGGATGAAATATCTATGGACCAATAGAGTGGAAGAAAGCGACTGGGTCAAGTAGACATGATCACCATGGAATCTAACCCTCTAGTTGGGGGGGGGGGGGGGCGGACTATAAACGGATGGATGATGGATGGATGTGAATCAGGATGGACTCACTTAAAGTGATATGTAATATATGAGATGTTGCAGGATATAGGGAGGGGTGCATTAAATGACAAACTTTCATCATTTGCAACACCACCTGGAGTGAGGTGTGGTACATTTCATGTGCTTAACGTTCTTTAGTGTTTCTGAAATGTTACTTAGGGGGGGGGGGAAGAAATATGCTTAAATGGTTTGTTTTTGGTGAAAATAAATATATGATTCACTGCTCACGAGTCCCGAGTCATTAGTGTCAAATCGGAGTCATGATGGCCGAGTCTGAATCCAAGCCCAAGTCTTTTGCCTATGTGACTCGAGTCGAGTCAGAGTCAATAAAATTGCGACTCAAGACAGACTTGAATCCGAGTCCTGGGCTCCAGTTTTACATCACTGGATGTCACCGAGTCAAAATCAATACACTCACACGCTGGGCAGGTTATTTTTGTGTAAAGTGCTGGCTTACTGTTAAAATGGTGCACAAAAGTTTGGCTGAATGTAGATTACCATCAATTGTTATTGAACAAAATTTTTCTGGATGTAAGGAAAAATAAACCTTACTGACCTGGGAAAGCTGCCGATGAAGTTGGTCAGCTCTTTCATGCGGACGTTGGGCGTGATGCGAGTGTACACAGACAGGTCCTTCATGACGTGGAAATCACTGCGCATAGCTTCGCTGAGCCCCGTCAGGGTACACAGCTCAGGGATCAGGTGGATGTGATCAATCATTCCCCGGCGCTGATCCTATTACAATAAAAAAAAACCACAAATAAATCTGCCTGTGATTATGGACTGGCTCCTGGTCCTTCCTTTGTGGTTGACGGGCGTGTGTTGTGTGAAATTTGGACTCTATGAAATACAGATACATTAGTTGTATTACGCATGCCTAATAGTGAAGATAATTAGGTTAGTGACAGATTTAATGTTCTATTCAACGAGGCGAAGCCGAGTTGAATGAAACACTCCATCTTTCAACGAATGAAAATATTCTCACAATTGCACGAATGCAAGACATTCATTATTTGTTTTGCATAACAACCAATTAGATCTTTGTCATTCGATTGGAGGATAAGACTTGAAGAACAAACAAAACTCACAAAAGTGCACCATATCCACTACTTTTTCCAGCTTGGTCAAGGCTAACAGAGGTTGAAAAGTCAAATCATTGACCATAATGAAAATCAATATTGTAATTTCTTAATCCAATTTAAAAAAAAACCCATCTATGCAACTGCATCAACTTCAAAGGCAAGTTTTGTACTGCCTTTATGCATGATAATGGTTTAAATAGTGCGAAGATTGTATAGTGTCGGGCCGCTGCGCATCGTAGAGTGCGCGCGGCGTGCAATAGATCAAAAGAGATGGGACAAAAATGCAGGGTGAATGGAACCAAAAATGAACGGTTATGACATAGGCCGTGCAATGGTTCGTTTATTGAATGCCCCTTGACCTACAATCCTCTAATCAAATGACAAGGATTTACTTGGATGTTATATAATGCCCTTTCAATAAGATCTGAAATAACTCACCCTTTTCTTTGGATTGCTGACCAGCAGTGGCTGTCCTAGATCACTGATATTTAGCCCGTACGCGTCCCGGTTGTACTGGGCGTAGGTTATTTTAGTGCCGTCCAACTTGTCGAATGTGTTCATGGGATTGATATTAAAGTCGATGTCGTCCACTCGGTAGGTCTTGTTGTTGTACCTGAATGACAGCCATCCAGAATTTATTTGGTTACTTTTTTTCATCCAAACCCAACCTCTCTCAGTCCACTGATCTTATCAACCAGGCATGCAACTGGGAAGTCACACAAAAAAGAGGAAATTGAAATCTTTCTAAGACTTTGTACAGTGTTTTTCTAGTGAAAAAAAGAGGAAATCAGCTGATTCGAGGAAAAGTTGCATGCCTGAATTCAACTGATCTCAACCCAACTGATCCAAACCAACTGATCCAAACCCAATTGATCCAAACCCAACTGATCCAAACCCAACTGATCCAAACCCAACTGATCCAAACCCAACTGATCCAAACCCAACTGATCTCAACCCAACTGATCCAAACCCAACTGATCCAAACCCAACTGATCCAAACCCAACTGATCCAAACCAACTGATCCAAACCCAACTGATCCAAACCCAACTGATCCAAACCAACTGATCCAAACCCAACTGATCCAAACCAACTGATCTCAACCCAACTGATCCAAACCCAACTGATCCAAACCCAACTGATCTCAACCCAACTGATCCAAACCCAACTGATCCAAACCCAACTGATCCAAACCCAACTGATCCAAACCCAACTGATCTCAACCAAACTGATCCAAACCCAACTGATCCAAACCCAACTGATCCAAACCAACTGATCCAAACCCAACTGATCCAAACCAACTGATCCAAACCAACTGATCCAAACCCAACCGATCCAAACCAACTGATCTCAACCCAACTGATCCAAACCAACTGATCCAAACCCAACTGATCTCAACCCAACTGATCCAAACCAACTGATCCAAACCCAACTGATCTCAACCCAACTGATCCAAACCCAACTGATCCAAATCCAACTGATCAAAACCAACTGATCTCAACCCAACTGATCCAAACCCAACTGATCCAAACCCAACTGATCTCAACCCAACTGATCCAAACCCAACTGATCCAAACCCAACTGATCGAAACCAACTGATCGAAACCAACTGATCCAAACCAACTGTTCCAAACCCAACTGACCTCAACCCAACTGATCCAAACCCAACTTCTCTCAACCCAACTGATCTCAACTCAACTGATCTCAACCCAACTGATCTCAACTCAACTGATCTCAACTCAACTGATCTCAACCCAACTGATCTCAATTGACCGATCACAACCCAACTGATCTCAACCAAACTGCTCTTAACCCACCTGACCTTGACCTATTTGATCCAAACCCAACTTCTCTCAATCCACTGATCACAACTCAACTTATCTCAATCCACTAATATCCAATGCCGTAGCCAGGGTTCTCATCCTAGGGTGGGGGGGTGGGGTACATGTGGGGCGGGGCTTGAGGTTATAAAGGTAGACAAGGTTTTTCACTGGACACCCGCCCTCTGTACAACCAAATAGTGGGGGGGGGGGGGGGGGGGAGGAGGTGACACTATCTTCCCATGGGGGGGGGGGGCGTTCAAAATGTATATCATGGCTACATTAGACAATAACTACCGCTATTCGCTTCTAAGGGACGTTTACAATAAACAGCCACTCGCAAAAAAAAAAGTTTTGCTTTTGAAAGTTTCACAGAAAAAAGGGACTTTATGTTCTTTCAGCTAATCGTGGTAACTCATATGGCTGTGCTTTCTCCGGATGCCAAATTTTCTGTGTTTTTTTTATGGGGGGGGGGGGGGGTGGGTAGCCGTTGCTTATATCACCCAAAACTAATCTAAACCCAAACACCATCCATTCACTGATAATCTCAACCCAACTGATCCCAACCTAGGCCGACCCAACCCTACCAAACCAAATCAAGCCAAAGCCAATTCAACTAAACGGAACTAAACCGAAATGATCTAAAGTCAACCAGGTCATACTCAAACAAACAAAATTGAACTGAATCAATGCAAACCAAATCAAACACAACTGAGTTGATGCGAACTGAACCGAACCAAACCATTCCGATCTCAACCATACCAAAGTGATTAGAACGGAACCGAACAGAACCGAATACATCGGACTAAAAAAAACCAAACTCAAGTGAACTGAACTGATATACAAGGTGAGTCAAAAGAAAAAGAAACCCAAATGTCGGGATAATTGTTTTAGTGAAGGTCTGCATATAGCACTTTCAAAATCTAGGATATGAAAGCCCGATTCATATAAAGCTTTCTTTTGAGTACAAGAATCATTCAAATCACTCATGCAATTTTCAAGTTAGGGAAATTTAAACACAACCACTGTTTTAAAGTTCTGTCCATGGATCACAAAAAGGTAAGCGTTCTTTCAGCAAAACGAAACTGAATCACATATAGGGATGTGAAAGAACGCACACCTTGTTTGTGATCCGTGGACAGAACTTTAAAGCGTTGGTTGTGTTTAAAAATCTGCAACTTGAAAAGTACGAGAGCAATTTGAATTATTCTTGTACTAAAAGAAAGCTTATGAATTCGGCTTTGATATCCTAGATTTAGAAAGTACTACATGCAGAACTTCATGAAAACAACAGTCCCAACATTTGGGTGTTTACTTTTTCTTGACTCACCCTGTATGTACCAAACTTAACCCAATTGAACTGATGGATCTGAAATTGACCACACCTAACTAACTCAATCCAACCAAACAGACCTGATCTGAAACAAACTTAACCAAACAATGCTGTTTCCTCACTTGGTCAGGACAATTTCTCCTGCCAGTACTCTCTTGGCCACATCCGCCCAGCCTGCTCCCTTGGTCTGCTCAATCTCAGCCAGCATGTCCAAGACTGTCTCTGTCCTCAGGATCTTGTGAGAGACGTCCGCCATCAGGAGGACCTCCTGCTCATACTGCAAGATGGAGGTGATGAAACCTGGCAGGAGCTGGATCCTGGAGGGATGAGGGGAGAAATGACGGAGAGAAAGGAGCATCAAGGAAAGGGGAACAATCAACACAATAAAAAACAGTCTTAAAAACTGTGTAAGCATAATTTAATTTTTTTCTGCCATTGTAAACATTTGATCTGCCATATTGTCGCTTTACTCGCAAAGTGACAAAAACCTCGAAAATCGATAACTGTTCGATTTTGAGTTTTACTAGCCTTTTTATTATAGTTGTCTCAAGGAACAATTTGACCAAGTTTCAAAGCGAAAAATTGTTTACTTTCTTACTTATTGTAAACAAAATTTGACAAAAAGCCTGAAATCCGTGTTTTTGTTTTTACGAAGTGTAAAAAGTGTAAAATGTTTTCACGAAGTGACAGAAAGTCACCTCGTGGGCAGGGCCGGAGGAACTACACACGTCAGGATGGGAGCATACACGTGCGCGCGAACGTTGTTGAAAAAGGACAGACGCGCGTGCGCTCAACTGTCGTATGACGCGTAAAAGTTGCAAGTTTGTTGCATCGACAAAAGTACAAATAAGTAAAGCCTCCGCGATTCATGTTCCCACGAAGTCACAAAAACTGTGTACAAAGTAATGGGGAAAATATAGGACCCAAAGTATTGATGTTTTCACGAAGCGTAAACAAGTTTTATTAATGAATTACTGTTTAATTTAATTATTTATTTTTAACAAACAACTATGAATCAGCAAAGAGCAAATCATAAGCTATGGGACAATGGAAACATTTCCAAATTCTTTTACTGCGAAGTAGTCGAAAATGTCTTTTGAAAAAATAAATAACTTCAAATGCGATTGTTTCTGGATGAACTTTTGTCGATTTTTCAAGTTTTTGTCACTTCGTGAGCAAAGCGACAATATGTGACCTACTGTGACAAAATGAGGAATGTCCCCCAAAACAATGTAATCAACTCCTGAAATCAATGTTGGTTTTTTTTTTTTTTTTGAAAAGCCAAGTTATCCAAGATTCACACTTTGCCTTTTTGTTGGGAACAAATATCCCCAAAAGTTGGAAACTGAAGAACGTTTTCCACTGCCGTTCGCAGCGCAATGTGCATTTCTTTCTTCAAAGCCCTTTTTCTCGAAATGAGGTTGGTAAAATTTGGTGGGACACTGATGAAGTTCCTGCGGCATATCTTGGGAGTACATTAAGCTACAGAAACAAATTTGGTATCATTTGAACGCTAATGATTTACGCTTTAACATGATGTACGTAACTTGAAAAGTCAAAGGGGGGGGGGGGGGTTTATTCCTCATTATGATATGGCAGGTGACATATAGCAAGTCTACATAGGCCAACATGTGCAGTGTCAAATTTCCTCACTTTACTACCAAACCTGCAAAAATGAAAGATGTTTTGCAAAATCCACACAAAAGGCTCTCATATTTAATGGCAATCCATATTTCTGCTTCATGGCTCTGTCTATTACTATATACAATCTCCGCCACTTCAAACAATTTTTAAAGAAACTCAAAGCCATGCTGACCTATGGCTACAGATATTTCACATCTACGTTCAACTTAAGACATGAGCTAAATGGTTTCACTTACTTGTGTTGCTGGATTTCCCTTTTGGCGTTGGGGTTGAAATAGTTCCGGCCAATCTGCTCAAAACCAACCAATCCAAGAATCCTAAAACAGTGAAAGTAACAATGTGATAAAAAATTGCGAGCACGAATTACGCTTCACTGAATTCCTTAAAAAAATATACTTCAAAATTGTATCTTTGTTTTTAAGAGGCCATGAACTGAAATTTACACTTGAACATTTTGTGCAATAGCTTAGAAGGCATTTAAAAGGTGCATCTTTGTCACTGTTAACAACCTGTTGATAATTTTGAAAATATTGTATTATTTCCATAAAACTGAAATTAAAATGACAGTAAACTAATTACTTTCCTACTTTTCCACACAGACTCAACTTTCTTCAAAGTTTTGGAGATTTGTCAATCAAATTTGTCATTTTTCACAAAGGACTCTGAGAATACAAATAATCATTTCTGATTGATTTCTAAGTCAATTCTGACTGATTGTTTCAGCTTTTCACGGATGGTCATTATTTAGTATGCCATTAAATAAAAACCCTGGGTCTTACGTGTTCTTTAACCCTAATCCTCCAAAATCCTCTGGATGGTTTTTGGAGGATTGAGGATGAATGGTGGAATTTTTGCGTCAGGGTGATAAATTAAATTATAGGTTTTGCCCTTCACCGACGTTTAAACACTGTATACTCAGTGTGTTACCTCCCGAGTGAAAAAAAAAAAAATCACTCGGGTGGGACTCAAACCCACGACCTCAGACGTCTGCACTAGAAAGCAGGAGGTCGTGGGTTCGAGTCTCACCCAAGTGATTTTTTCCATCTTTCACTCTGGAGGTAACACACTGAGTATACAGTGTTTAAACGTCGGTGAAGGGCAAAACCTATAATTTGAGGATGAATGGTGTTTGAGAAACATGAGGATTTTGGAGGATTGAGGATGAATGGTGTTTGGAGGAGGATTTTGGAGGATTGAGGATGAATGCATTTTCTTGTCTGACAATTTTGAAGGATTGAGGCCCAGGGTAACCTACATTTGAACATAAGTGCAACATTTTGGAGGATTGAGGATGGTTCCCAGCAAAAAGACCCTCGGGGGTTTAGGGTTAATTTCAGCAACGATGAAAAAAAAAAGAGCAAACCTACTTGCGGAAGATGATGTTGTAAACCTGCATGCAGGTTGGTGAGGTAGGAGGCAGCGCATTCTTGAGAGCCACAGTAATGGTGATGATGTCATCAGAGTCACGGCGTTTGGTTTGAAACCTGGTCACCTAGAGTTTGCAAAACAGACAAAAATAAGTATAGAAAATATATATACATCTCATGAAAACATCTTTACAACTTTGCATCTTGTGTGGAGATTGATTGTTTCTGAAAAAAAAAATTTGTGAAATGTACATATAACTCTATACAGTGTGAGTACAAAAAAAATGAAACCCAAATGTCAGGATTATTGTTTCAGTGAAGTTCTGCTTGTTGCACTTTCAAAATCTAGGGTATGAAAGGCAAATTAAGAAGCTTTCTTTTAGTACAAGAATCATTCAAATCGCTCATGTACATGTTACAGAATTTTAAACCCAACCACCGTTTTAAAGTTCTGTCCACGGATCACAAAAAAGTGTGCGTTCTTTCAGTAAAAACGAAAACAATTCACACACATCCCTATCTGATTTGTTTTCGTTTTACTAAAAGAACACTTACCTTTTTGTGATCCGTGGACAGAATGTTTAACGATGGTTGTTTTAAAAATTCTGTAACTTGAAAAGTACATGAGTAATTTGAATGATTCTTTTACTAAAAGAAAGCTTATGAATTGGGCTTTAATATGCTAGATTTTAAAGTGCTACATGCAGAACTTCACTGAAACAATAGTCCCGACATTTTGGTTTCGTTTTTTTTTTTACTACCCTGTAGTGAAAGCCCTGTCACTCTCAGATCCTCAGATCCTTAGTTTTGTGGAAGGTATACAGCCCAGCTAAAATCACATAACATGGGGCAGGAACAAAGAATGCAACTTTGATTTCCTATACAGCTGAGGATTTTAGAAGATTGAGGGAGGTTCCTAGAAATATGGCATTTATCTCATGTTAAGAATATTTCTTTTCGAAATCAGTGACATACTTTTGCCATGTAGCCTCAATCCTGCAAAATCTTTTATCTTTGCAGAGAGGATTTTGAATTTGGGAAGGTTAGGGTTAAAAACACATTTTACATCTACTCACCGGCTCATCAAGCCTTCGGAGCAGGAACAACATCATCCCATCAAAGGCCATGGGGGTGCCTAGGATCTCAGAGTGAGCCCGTAGCAGGGCATGACGTGCCCTAGGGTTGTCCACAACGGGGCTGAAGTCCACGCTGTACTGGTGCAGAAGCCACTGATCAGCAGCCTTCATGCGGAAACAGTTGGTCAAGACCTCCACTGGCTTTCCTTTCTTGCCTGGAGGATTATGAGAAAAATGCATGTTTTTTTTTTAATGTACAATGGAGTTTGTGCACATGTTCTCACTCAATTGTGACAGAGAGAGATGACTTCAAACTTAAATGCTGTTGTTGCTGTGAGGTAGGTGCCTGTGCAAAGGCAATGCTGGATACTGAATCATTCTGTTGTCCCAGACGCTGATTTAGGGCGCAATTTAAAACATGACTAGGTTATTGTCCCTTATTGAATGCAGAAACAAACTTACCTACCAACCAACACAGTGAGCTAAGGCCCGAGGCATATTTTCATGGCGCTGTGGGAAAAACTGCACTAATGACCAATGATCTACCCTACCTTTAAAGACAGCTTTTAGATGAGAAAATGGAATATTTATTGCAGGGGTGTGAGTGACCACTGATAAAAATAGCTGAAAACATCTGAAAAAGGTGTAAAAAAGCTGACCTTTGGAAATTTCCTATACTTTTTTACACAACAAGTGAGGGAAAAAGTTGAAAAAGGCTGAATCCAAAACTAATAAAAATAGCTGAAATCAGCTTTAAAGCTGAGATTTCACACCCTTGTTATTGGCACATCAATAAGGGATTACAGGGCACCAGACCTACCTCTCTTATCAATGGGTCTGGGTGCTTTTTGTTCTCCGTAGCGGAGCTCTGTCTGTCTGCCGCGGCCACTGACTCCCCCTCCCTCAGCACCCTGGGCCCCGCCCACGCTCAACGCTGCCATCTGAGCTGTAGGGGGCGCTTCAGCTGGCATTGGCCTCGGGGCATGAGGATGGTAACTCTCGGCCATGGCCGCTCTTTGCTCCATGCTGATAGCAGCTGTGTAACAAAGAAAGTAGTTCAAACAGTGTGAGTATAAACCAGTTGGTGCAAGTCAGATTTCACCCGACCCCTTTAATTGTCTCCTGTGCAGTCATGCATGAAAACTAATCCAGTGAAAATATCACCAAAAGAGGCAGGAAGAGTTACTCTAAAAACTACACTATGAAAATATCTTATCTATGTTGCTACAGAATGAAACTATGGCCAATTTTAAAAGTGTATAGGTTTTTTACTCACACTGTATCTACAGGATCATTTTACAAATTTGGGGTCCACTTTTTTCCTGTCCCTGTTACATCTGACATCTTGATTTTATAGCAAACCACTTACCCAACAAATACAAATTTATGGAAAATAAAGCACCAAGGGTAGGACAAAAGTGTCACACTCTGAACTCTAAACCCTAAACCCTAAACTTATAAAGTGATCAAAGAATTCATGTCTTGTAACATCATATTAGAGCATGTACGTGTATATGTAAATGTGCTGAGTTTTTTGTGTTAAGTTTCAACCCCCCCAAAATAGATTTTGTTTTTAAAATGGAGCAACCTTACATGTAACTCTCAGCCTGAAAAAATTTTGTCAATAGACACCCACCTCCTGATCCAGGGACCTGGGAAGCCCCACCCCTGGTTCTGCCCCTCCCTGGGGCAGGCATGGCTTCGGCATCACCAGTAGGCATGGGCGTGGCAGGCACTGCCTCCCCAGGCCGCCGGGGCTGGCCCTGCTGCTGCCCTGCAGAGGCCCGCCCACGGCCGCGGCCTCGCCCCCGACCACGGGCACGCCCGCTGCCAACGCCTTGCTGACTGTCAGCCATGTTGGGTGATTCCAAACTTCTTTGCTCTGGGGAGGAACAACAGCTTGTGGTGATGAACAGAGTTTACAGCAATTATAGATGGTAAAACAGTGAAATGGCAACACCAATGAACAGTTACAAGCATTTGTTTAATGGGACACAAAGTCCTGAAGTTTATACTTTAGATTGTTTACTTATCCTATTTTAACAGTCTGGTTGAAGGAAACTAACCCAATGTCTTACTAAGAAAAGGTACCCCCAATAAGAGTTTTTTTTGCGTATTAAGAAAGAGAATAAAATGCTCCTTACCACCAATCAGATATTGTGTTGACAAGTTATGGCTATTTAAAGTTCACTCTTATAAACGTGTCAAAAAAGGAAAGTACAGAGAAAAAGGCATTTAAAGTTTCAAGTTGGTATTTGTGAAAATGAAAGATGCAAATTATTTTTTTCCAATTATTTTTTTTTCCATAAAAACACTTGCACTCCACAATTTGTAAGGTATTTCTATAAAATATATGTAGTAGACATATCAAAGATTACCAAATCAATAAATTTGAAAAAAAAAATCACTCTCATTCAGTTTTTTTTTGGCATTTTTTCCCCGCCACAACCTGTGTTCAGTTCCGTTGCATTTTGCCAGAATGCATATTCTCTCAATACTCAATGAGCACGTTCTTTACATTCTCAAGTCAACTTACTTTTTTACAGATGATTTTCTTTGTTGCTTGGATCACAAAGAAGCTGGATGTTGTCCACCATTTCTATCTGCAAGAACTTTTTCCAGGACACAGTAGGCCCCTCAGCTGGATACATCCAGACACTTAACTGTGGGAAAGATGAGAAATATGAACTGTCAAGAAATAGACAAGTTACCGTTGAGTCACCATTGAGTTTATTAGTCACTAATAAACTCAATGGTAAATCATCGCACATAGGTTTAAAAAAATAAAATTGAACATTCTCCAAAAAGGCACACACGGGACAGTGTACAAGCATTACACAGGCTGTGTGGACTTCCGAACAAAAGAGGTCCACATAAACTAGGTAGCAGCAACGTTGTGTGGACTTGCCAACGTCCACACAATGTTTCCCCATTTCTGGAAAACAGGTTTAGAGGCATTTTTGGGTTAAGGTTATGTGTGGCCGAATGAAGAGAAACACAAAAGGGAATAATAGAAAAAAAAGTGGGTTGAAAGAGTTTTCACAGTTTGAGAAAACTGATTTTTTTTTTCACAGGTTTTTCTTAACCACACGAAAGCAATGGAAAGTCCACACAAGGTATGTAACGTTAACCTGGGTGTGCGTGTGTGGGTAAACTGTACAAAAAAAATGTTGGACTCTGATTATTGGTGGAATGCCTCAGTTTACTAGTGCAGTACTCATCCTAACAGATTCCAACAAACCCTGGTGTTGGAGTTCGGCTGGATGGATATTGTTAATGTTCAAGTAATCTTACTGTACCGATGTAAAGGTACCAACAATTAGGTTCTGTAAAAGGCCTAATCGTCTCTGGCAGGTATAGTGGAATCCGGTGACCAGAATTAGAAGTTTTCACTTCGGTGGTGTTACACTCACACGCATGCTGCACACGTTTTTAACATGTTTAAGGATGAGGCACACACGCATTTTGGTATTCTTATGTGTCAAAGGAGTGCGTGTTTGAGCCTGACTTGTGCAAGCCTTGCACCACTGCAGAAAATAGCTGCCGCCGGATTTGTCTATAACGCTGGCCCTTGCCCAGTATTATGTGGGTACTTCCAAGTCACTGAAGTGAATCGCTTTATGCCCTATACAGCCAGCTAATCTCCAGAATCAGACAATGGAGAAAAAAAAATGGGCATCAAGAAGCCACATCTGGTCACATAGAAAACCACTCACTCATAACAATGGAACAGGATGGGTCCATTCAAACTGTTTCTGAAAGTGGTCGTTCGTGATAGTGATTGTGCATTATTATAGAATTTACTATTTCGGGAGCCAAAGAGGATGCGTGTTATAGCCAACTGTTTGTTATAGCAGCGTTCATTATAGTGGTGGTTCACTGTATGGGGACGCCTTCCCTCCAACACTTGAAATTAAAGACCCCCCCCCCCCCCCCCGCATTATACCCGACTTAATAGGATCCCAAATCTTAAGACAAACTGCTAATAGAGAACCAGGTTCTCATCTCTGAGGCTTTTGTACTTCTGTACTGAGAGATGACTCAAGGTTTTAGGCAGAACAAGACCCTGACTGGTAACATTCTCGTCAGTTTAAGCGCAAATACAGTAATAAATTAAGGCCTTGTAAACATTACATCCTACATTTGGATAACAAATAAGGGTAATGAGCTGGTAAAATATATATTTTCAGCTCCAAGTTTCATAAGCCAGAAAAAAAATAGGTGGGATGATAGCCATGCAACTCATTAATTTTTTTTTTTCTTTCTCTCAAAATTAAGAATTTTCTTTCTTTATTGTTTTAAAATCAAATCCTACAATACATTTAATTGCAGAATATTTCATCTTTGCTATCTGATTCGTGGCTCTGACGGATTTTTTAATGGAAATAAAGTCCAAAATTGCAATAGGTCTGATTCCCGTCTCCTGAATACAAAGTCACAATGACAATGTAAGCATTTCTACACGTTGGAACCAGACAAAGATTCGTCATGGTAACAATTTGAAAGTCCCAAACAACACTCACTGTGCATATTCAGCGTAATGCTGGTACAACATGCGCATGTAATGTGAAGTGGGCTGAAGATGGCGATGGGGCATAGTGGAAATGGGCAAAAGGCGAAGGGACAGGGGCGAAGTGGAAATGGTAGGGAGGCCAGCGAAACGACCCTTCAGAAATTTATATCTAGAACTGAGTAAAAAATACCTATTTTCAATCAACCTTTTTTCCCACTTTTGTGCATCAAATTAAACATTTTAATGAACAATTGTGTGGTTAAGTCTTGCTTGCTTGGAGTTAAGGGTCGACTTGAAGCCTTGTACAAGAAAAAAAAAAACACTGGTCATTCTGATGTGCGGTTCGGTGAATTTGGCCAAGGATAGAGGGGTGCAATTGTTTCGTTATCCGAAGTCAACAAAAAATAACATTTTTTGTAACAATTATTTAATTACAAAATGCATGCGTAAGGAGTCGATGAAACGTATATGAAACAGTGTTTTCTCAAACACTTAGACTTTCAGGAGGACATAATTTTTTGTTAACAAATGATGGCGCATTGGTGCGGCACAGCCGATTTATATGCCTACATGTATTTAGTCTGGCACGCGGAAACTACGATTATGTGTACGCACATATGTTCTGCGTGGCCGTGTAGTCCGAAGCGTGATTTGAACTTAATTTGGGGTGATCGTATAGTTACTGGCCCAGTTCCCTATAACAGAACAAAATCCACTTTTAACTTATTTGACTTACCAAACTAGTTGGCAACATTATGAACTTGCAGACATATGACACAGATAGAAAGGGTTTTGAATTTTTGAGGAAATTTGTGGATAAAATGACGAAAAATTAAATGTTCACGAAAATATAGATGGCGATCACCGCAATGCACTGTGAAAGCGCAAGGCGTGCTGACTTGCACAGTACCAACTGTAAACATGGTAAATTCCGTACGAAAATTGTAACTTCTACCCCAGGAAACTGTTGAAAATTACAAAAAAAGGTGTCACTAGAATTGGGAAAAGTCTTCTTCAGGTTGAAAAGGTCATTTTTGAATAATAAAAAACACCCTTGACTCTAATTTGATCGAAACTAAAGAGGGACCCGTAATGACAGGATATCGCGGTAGTTTTCCAGAAGAAAATCATAACTTTTTTAATAATGAGATATAAAAAAACTGATTTAAAAATCAACTTATTATAATAAGGATTCTAATAATGTTAAAAATTTTGAAGTTTGGAATTTCTTCTTAGAGTTAAAAATATTTGTATTGTCTATCGTTACGACAGCTGTAATGCAATTTTCAAATACTATCGTTACGGCATGTTAACAGAACGCTTCGGTAGCACAATACATTGTAGATACAGACGCTAGATCAATGAGCTGGGGACCCTGGTTCAAACCCCGCGCAGCAGTGCACTAGGCCCCTATTCGTTTTTTTTTTATATATATATTTTTTGAACAGATTTCTTAAATGTGACTGAAAATACTGGACTACCTCCGTATATCAGTCACACAGCCACGTACAGCCTGTGAGCAGAGCGTCCCATTGCTAGGGGAGCCGAAAATTAATTAAAGATCAAAATTATTTTGTCGACAGAAAATTAACCCAGCTATAGAATGACTGCTAAATAGCACAAAATCGTTAAATTCGGTAAGTTCAGAGGTCTAGTTATCCATCATGGAAATTCGTCACGGTTTTGAAGGAAAGATTTCCATATACGAAGTTCACTCAACGCTCGCTCTGAAAAATTCTAAGTGTTTTCTAAGAAAATGCTTGTATTTTCTCACTGCTCAAATTGACTTTGATGACATGAAATTGCTATCTGGGGGCTTGTTAGTCAATACAGAGGAAAATTAGTGAACTTCACATATGGTAATCTTGCCGTTTTGAAAAAGCATGGCGTCTCTGATATTTACCAGACTGTTTCCCGGCCACCCCAATAATAGTCAAGAGGCCAAAAGGGTCAGGGAACCAAACAAGAGCTTTAATCATCTACAGAGCATGCGTCAACTTTGGCAAAGTGACCGCGGCTGTTGCCTGTCATTCCAAAATCTTTGGCGCTCTGTGAAGTGCCCGGATGCAATACGCGACCGCGAATAGAGCGCACATAAGAGGGCGCGCTTCACTGCAGAGGGCTTCAATCGGGGTAGCATAAAAAGGTTCGAGAGTGGAGCGAGTAATGAATATGCATGAATATGACGTCACTAGAAGCTCATGAGTAATATATCACGGTACGTATTCGCGTTGAGTGGAGTACTCCTCTTTCTACTGTCGCGCCACCACCCTCTAGTGTCGTCCCACTTACCGATGATCATCACATTTAACAAGTCCTCTTTCTACTGTCGCGCCACCACCCTTTAGTCTCGCCCCACTTACCGATGATCATCACATTTAACAAGTCCTCTTTCTACTGTCGCGCCATCACCCTCTAGTGTCGTCCCACTTACCGATGATATCACATTTAACAAGTCCTCTTTCTACTGTCGCACCACCACCCTTTATTGTCGCCCCACTTAATTACCAATGATCATCACATTTAACAAGTCCTCTTTCTACTGTCGCGCCACCACCCTTTAGTGTCGCCCCACTTACCGATGATCATCACATTTAACAAGTCCTCTTTCTACTGTCCCGCCACCACCCTCTCGTGTCGCCCCACTTACCAATGATCATCACATTTAACAAGTCCTCTTTCTACTGTCGCGCCACCACCCTTTAGTGTCGCCCCACTTACCGATGATCATCACATTTAACAAGTCCTCTTTCTACTGTCGCGCCACCACCCTCTTGTGTCGCCCCACTTACCAATGATCATCACATTTAACAAGTCCTCTTTCTACTGTCGTGCCGCCACCCTCTAGTGTCGTCCCACTTACCAATGATCATCACATTTAACAAGTCCTCTTTCTACTGTCGCGCCGCCACCTTCTACTGTTGCCCCACTTACCGATGATCATCACATGATCATCGGTAAGTGGGGCAACAGTAGAGGGTGGTGGCGCGACAGTAGAAAGAGGAGTACTCCACTCAACGCGAATACGTTCTGTCGCGCCATCACCCTCTAGTGTCGCCCCACTTACCGATGATCATCACATTTAACAAGTCCTCTTTCTACTGTCACGCCACCACCCTTTAGTCTCG